CCAACCTACATTTGTCTGGGTTCCCCCATGTTTTCCTGGTGTGTCTTTGGGCAAAAGCCCCCTTGAGCCTTGGTCTCCTTTCTATAGAACCGGGAGAACCTAGGACCAAGCTCTCAGACCAGTAAGCACTTGCTAAGGGGTGACAAAGAGCAAAATTGACATATACACATTCACTTCTCTGGGTCCTTACTAGCTCAGGGCAGATGTCTCCACCCAAAGAAAGGGAGGCATGTGATCAAGGGAGCCCACAGGGGCTGTCCACGGGGCCATCTGGAGGGGCTGGGAAATGTACTCCATTCCACTGGCCTCATCTTGCCAAAAACAGCGGAGGCAGCTGGACAAGCACTTCTTCAAATAATGCCCTCAGGGGATTCTGGCTTCACAATTGTAGAGGTTAAATTGGGTCCTCCAAAGTTCCTATCTACCCAGAACTTCAGAAGGTGACCTTATTTGGAAATAGGGTCTTTGCCGCTGTAATTAGTTAAGGATATTGAGAAGAGATCCTCCTGGACTTAAGGTGGGCCCTAAATCCAATGACTGGTGTCCTGAGTAGAATATACAAACACAAAGGGAAGAGGGCCCATGGAGACGGAGGCAGAGAGCAAAGCAATGAGGCTGCAAACCAAAAGACCCAAGGGTTGCCAGCAGCCATCACAAGCCAGGATGGATTCTTCCTCAGGACCGTTGGCAGGACCAACCCTACTGCCTTAGTCTGTTCAGGCTGAGGTAACAAAATAGCACAGATGCAGTGGCTTATAGACAACAAAAAATGTATTTCTCATTGCTCTGGAGACTAGAAGTCCAAGATCAAGGCTCTGATAGCGCCTATCTTCTCACCACGTCCTCACATGGTGGAAGGGTCTAGGTAGCTCTCTGGGGTTTCTCTGTAATGGGCACTAATCCCACTCAGGAGAGCTCCACCCTCAAGACCTAATCACCTCCCACAGGGCCCACCTCCTGATAACACTGCATTGGGGATTAGGTTTCAACAGATGAATGTAAGCGTGAGACACAAACTTTCAGTCTACAGCACCTGCCAACACCTTGATTTTGGCCTTCAGTCCTCCACAACTATGACAGAATTTCTGTTGTTTTAAGCCAGCTAGTTTGCTATAATTTGTTACAGCTGCCCCAGGAAGCTAACATAGCAGGAGTCTGAGACCAAACCTGCCAGTGCTGGCCCATCTCTTGGCTAGTGGCCTGGCCTTGAGGTCACTGCTCTCCTTCTGGACTGAAAGGGCACTCTGCTGGCAGAGCTTCCGCAGAAAACCTGGCTTCTGGTGAACTCTGTTGAGACCCCGGAATCCTAGCACTCAGCTGCGGGAAAAGGTACTCAGTGAAGAAAACAAATGTTGACAAGCGCATTTTAAAAATAGCACAGTAACCAGGGAGGGGCTGCGGGAAGGGGAAGGTCGCTCTAATTTTTGAGCTGAGTATGAGTTTCATTATTCCTTCTACTTTGTTCTTTCATGTGCACACTATATACTTTTTGTTAAGCAGTAATAAAACCCAAACAAGCTAACAGCTCTGATCACCGCAGTATTCCTATAATGCCTAACAGCCAAAATAGAAAAGAATGAAAAAATGGGATGGCATGTGGGAAAAGGCCTGATCTCAGTCTGATGACGCCCTCTACCTGGCGCCAATAACAGGAAAACACCAGCGACTAAATCTTGAGATGGCTTCCCAAATTTAACATCTGACTTCTCTCAATCTCATCTGACACCCTCTTTCTTTTGCTAGATCCAAGTGGAAAAAATATTCAGCGGTAGCTGAATGGTTCTTCTAGCCAACTGTTCTTGCCAAGGTACCTTGTGCCAACACCTCAGGACGTGTCCTGGGACTCTGGGCGATGCCCCACCAAACCCAAGGCTTCCTTCAGAGCTTTGCAGAGGAGGAACTCGAATAATTCCTGGATTGAACTTTAATCTAACTTTGGAAGAGAAACAGAAATCTAACATTTAATTACCATCACATGGGCCAGAATCCCTAAGAGATGGACAGGAAGCAGGGAAGTGACATTCAAAAGGATCTCTTGGGTTGTTTTTTAACCTATCAGATTGGAGAGACCAGAATACTTGATTTAAAAAACTATCCTGGCTGCTGGAGGAGGAAACAAACATTCCAACTTCACAGCTGAGAGACACTTGACCACTGAACCTCTCTGGAGGAACATTCATCTTTCTAATAGACACATCCTTTGGCCTGGCCACTCCTAGGAAGTTGCTGCCTTGGATGTAAGCTCCATGAAGTCAGCGAGGTTTCAAAGTGCCTGCACCACACATGCTTACTACATATTCGCTCATGCATGAGTCTATCTATTCAGTACAGCTAAATTTATAAAAGAAAGTATGAGCGACAACTTAGTAAGAGGCTGCATATAAATCAACATATGTACTTGATAAAATCTGATGCAAATTTACCAGTGGTTTAAAAGGGGCAGGGGATATACTTCCCCCCATCTATGTCCCGCATCACCCAGGCACAGTCTATCTCTGAAGGAAACAGAAGAAATTAACCATGGTGCCTCTGAAGGGAGATGGGGAGCAGGTACAGGAACACCCACCTATTTCACTATATGCTTTTACAACTGTCTTTTTGTTTTTTTCATGTACATAAATTACCTTGTCAGTTTATATATAAGTTTATATATTTGCATATGTATATATAAAATATATGCATGCATGTATACATGTATATATAAAATGGGTACACAGTATATGTATGTATAAATCTGTATATATATCTGTATCTGTGTATGACATCTACATATATGCACACAAATACACACACATTTTTTAAATGATTCCTTTTGAATTCAGACAGAAAATTCCAATGGCTTCAGTTTCCATAGGAGAAGCTGAAAGTGACATGACCCTCCACCGTCCGGCACATTCCAGCATCATCTTCACAGGCAGAGATGGGGGCTGGTAGTGGTGGTGGGGTGGTCTTATAAGAGGCACTATGCAATGGGTCCAACCTGTGGCCTGCAGACCATGTGCAGACCAAAATGGCTATGAATGTGGCCCAACACAAAATCATAAATTTACTTAAAACCACTTTTTTGCTCATCAGTTTGCATTAGTGTGTATTTAACGTGGGACCCAAGACAACTCTTCTTCCAGTGTGGTCCAGAGATGCCAAAAGTTTGGACACCCCTGCCAGGAAAGGAAATGTTATTGCTTTTTTTTTTTTTTAAAGATTGTATGTATTTATTTTTAGAGAGAGGAAAAGGGAGGGAGAAAGAGAGGTAGAGAATTATCAGTTGGTTGCCTCTTACACGCCCCCAACTGGGGACCTGGCCCACAACCCAGCCATGTGCCCTGAATGGGAATTGAACAGGTGACCTTTTGGTTTACAGGCTGGTGCTCAATCCACTGAGTCACACCAGCTGGGATACATTATGCTTTTTAACAACAGAGCCACTTGTCTTCTGTGCTGCACACTTGCAAATCATACTCCCAGGATTGAAAAGTTTCAGAAAAAGTAGCTCCAACACCACACCAGGCTCCAGTTTCGCAGTTTAGGTCTAAGTGTCTGTTACATTAACTCCCTCACTCTGACAGTGTGTCCTTACTCTGGGTTCATCAACTTCAAGGGTCCAAGGACCTCCTATGGTTCAGCAAGGAGCCTCAGTCTGTGAGAGTGGGGACCAGAGGTCCCACAACTACCTTCTAAATGACCCTGCTAGGGGCAGCACCCCAGAAGTTAAAGCCCTGCTCTCCCAGCATTCCCACCCCTATCCCAGGGTTCAGAGACTGGTGCTCCAGCAGCAATCAGGGGCTGCCCTTCCAGCTCAATTTTCCCAGACCCAGTCAAAGTCATGATGCCTGAAGAACAGCTGCAAGGATGGCGGGGGTCCCCTACCTTGCCAAACTTTCAGAGATAAACACAACAGATGAGCAAAAATGGGGGTGGTCCACAGAGAAAGATAAGTAATGCTTATGTAAGGGTGAGCTCTGTCTCAATTCAAGTTACTTTAGGCTTGTTAAATTTAAATTAAAATGGAGATAATTCTGGTTTTGTCTGGGATGGGATTATTCTAAGCCCAGAAGGCACTTTATAGACTATTATAAATCAAAAGATAATATTGGGTGGGCTTTTATTTGGCAGGGGTGTTGTGCAGTGATCCTGAGATAGCAAGGTTTGGAATATTGGAGTGCCTTGGGGGCTGTTGAGGATTAAGAGGGCTGTAAGCACAGGTGCATGTAGAAGTACCAGCACATGCACTGATGATGGGATACGTGAGTAACTGGAGTGCTGCTAGGGCCACAGGGCAGGTGGTGGTAGTGGGAAGCACCAGAGGGCCCTGAACCAGGTTGCTGAAGGGAAGGGCAGGGAGAGGGACACAGACCTGGATGTCAGCAAAGTCGGTAAAGTGATATCAACAGGCCCAGATGTGAGTAGAGGGCTGTGAGTTTGGCGTCACAGGCTCAGGTGTTGGTGTGGGAATGCAGGCCCAGTTGGAGAGGCGAGGTGGGGTGAGATGAAGGGGGAGACAGCTCAGGGTGTGGGGTATCATCAAGAGGGACGGTCTCAGGCGATGTGGGGGTGTCCATGAGAGGGGGCGCGGCATCAGGTGTGTGAAGGGGACCATAAGTGGGGACACAGCCTCAGTTGCATGTAGGGGTGCAGATCCAAATGTGCGGGGCATCTAAGAACGTGGCCCTAGGGTATGTCAGCGAGGCGGACAGTCTCAGGTGTGTGTCAAGGAGAACGGACCAGGTGTCAGGTGCGCATGGACTGACAGTGAGAGGCTCAGATTTGGCTACGGTGGCCCCCAAGGAACACCAGACGCAGAGTGTGAGGGTCAGGGTGGGGGGGGAGCTTTGTCCTTTCCCTGCCCCCGAGACGCTGCTGTCATGTCTCGCCTTGTCCGCCCCCGCCCCAGGACCCATGACAGGGCCATGCCTGGTCCTGGCTTGGTCGGAAGGGCACTGGCCCCCCAACGCCTGTGGCTCCCCCCCCCCGCCCCGCCCGCGCCCCCCACGCTTGCTCACCGGCTGGGACTTGTCGCCTCCGCCGCCACAGCCACCTCCTTCAGCCGCCGGGGCTCCACCTCGAGCACCCCCCAGCGCGCGCCACGGGGGGAGGGGTCCATGATGCCCTCCTATTGGCTGAAAGACGACCAATCAGTGCTTGAGATGGCAATGACTGGTGAGCATAAAGAAGACGGGCAGCCCCTAATGCCAATCGCTAAGGGGTAGAGGCGGGGCTGTTGGGAGACATTCTGGGTCCCTGGGGTAGTCCCGCCTGGTGCGAGGTGCTGGAAGGTGAGGATCTGGAGACAAGCGAAAATTGGCAGAAGACAGGCATCACCGATGACCAATCGCTGGAGAACAAGAGTGGGGCTTTGAGGTGGCCGGAGCGACTGGTGCCAGAGGGACGGAGGGAGTCGCCCAGAGGGCGACGAGGACTGGTTGCGAAGCTGAAGATGGGCAGACACGGCGACCAGTCACAAGGGCCGTGGGCGTTATGCCATGGGCGGGGCTTGAATACGCAAGGTGCTGCGCTTGTCCCTGAGCATGGCGGCCAGAGGTGCTCTCTACACCCTCGTCAGGTGCCCTGAAGCTGTGCTGAGTGAACTTGAGCCATCACGGCTGCTGGACTTGTGGATAATGCTGGTCCCCTCCCCGCCATTCCCCTGCAAACAAGGCGGAGAGGGTCAACTCGCTGGAGGTCATTCAGGCTCACCTCTGCAGTTCTGGGTTGGTGTGAAGACGTGGAAAAAGGTGGGACCTTACGCACTTTGAGATCTTTCTGGAAGGGTGTGACTTCTTTGAGTTCCTGCTCTCTGTCCCGGGATCCAATGACACTTCAGTCTGGCCTCTTCCCTGATAAATCTTATTTGAATTGTAAGCCTTTCCTTATTCTTAACCATACTCCCTTTAGTTCAAAGCGAACTTTGACCCTTTTACAGAAACTGAAAGGAGCACAAAGAGGTTAAGCTCCTTGCCTGACATCACAAAGCTTTTCAGTGGCTGGATTTGGGTGTGAACCTAGAACAGTCTGCTTTTTGGAAGGGGGTAAGGCAAATGTCAAAGAACAGCCACTGGAGGCCTAGGAGACTTGGGTTCCAATTTCTGTTCGACCACTGACCCATGGCACAACCCTGGGCACATTGATCCTCCATTTCCTCATAGGACAGTGATTCCTATGCCTGGAGAACTTACATCCCAGCCCTTGCCTTGACCTTGTGGTGAAAGCATTTGACCCACAGCAGGTCACATCAGGTCTGTGAGCCTCAGCCCCTTTGAGATGTGGTTCATGGAATTCTTTGCAAACAGACACCAGCAGTTTAGGGAGCCATCTGTCATCTAGTGCTCTGTCATCACTGGCACCTCCCTCCAGCCTACCCTGTTCTCTGACTCCCTTAATCTCCCGGGCAGAGAGGGTTACAAATGTTCCCAGTTACTGGCTCTTACTACTCCAGGTGCAGACTTGGGGTTGGTGGAAATCCAGTTCACAACCAGAGAGGCCTGGGAAGTTAGCAAGGCTGAGCTAAGCGTTAACAAGGGTTCATATTTCAAGGCTGTACTAGTCCCTGGTAAGTGATTAATCCATGACGTCTCAAAGGGCCCTCTTGGAGGAAATGACTTGGGCTCACACCATGAAAGTCAGTATTCCAAGGCCACCCTGACTCCTGCTGGTCTCATGATATTCTTGCCTCCTCCTCCCATTCCTCCTAGTGTTGTCTTCCCTGAAACTTCAAGGTCCTGGTATCCATGTTCCCATCCAGAGAAGAGGAGGAACCAGAGTCTGCCTACTGACCACCTACTGAAAGTGTCAGTTCCTTGCCAGGCCTTGTGCTTCCCAAACACCCGTGTTATCATGTGACTTCCAGATGGGGGTGACGGTGCCCACTTTGCAGATGAGAAAACCTAGCCTCATGTGACTTCTGTTTCTTCCTGAAATAATCGAGGGCTAGGTTTGAATCCCTGCTCCTTTTGACTTGCTGGTCACAGGGCCTCCAGCAAGGGACTCAAACTCTCTGCCTCAGTTTCTCTAACTACCTCCCAGGATTGATGGAAGCATTAATTAATTGAATGGAAGTAAAACTCACAACTATATTGGTCTGTAACAAGTGCTCTCGAAGTGTCTGATGGACAAATTGTTCTTGGGGCCCTTTTGCAAATAGCACTTTATGGAATGTAGACAGAGACCAACTACGGGTCTGGCCTGTCATCCCAAGAGGGAGATATTAATGCCAGAGGAGGTCCTACTCACAGCACCCACCTGCCAGACACTGAAAGGGAAGCAGCAAGCTCCTGGAAAATCCCACAGTACCCCAAGGAGAGTGCCAACTGAGGCAAGGGTCAGGCAGTGGCCTAGCACCCAGCTGCCTATCCTGACGGTGCCAGAAACACTGGCTGGGCTCTGGATTCTGTGTGCTTATCAGCAGGCTGGTGTGAGCCAACCTTTCTATAGCCTTCCAACAATGTCGGCAAAGCTCCTTGGCATCAGCAAATGACACCCCCCCTCTGGGCACCCTGGATGTGCCTGGCCAGGGTGTGCAGGATCCTAGCTCTTCTGAGCTGGCCTGGCTGGCCCTGGGCAGGAAACTGCCTCTTTGCCCTCTAGTTTCCTCTACCTTTCTGGGTTCCCAGGAATCATCTCACACAACAGCAATGAGCCAGGCCTAGGCACAGTGACAGGGCTTAATCAACCAAGACCAGAGAGCCATTTGCCCAAGGTCAGATTAGCAATGTTGGCAACAGAGGAGGTGACAGAGGCAGAATGAGCTGGGTTCTCATCCTGCTGTGGCCCCACCAAATGTCAGTGAAGTCTATTTCTCATCTGGATGATGAAGTTCACAGGTCCTGCCTCTCTGAAATATGTTTGTAACCCCAGAGCCTAGGCCCTTCCCTGGCTGAAGGGACATATCCTAGATACAACAGGGACTAAGCCAAGCCCAGCTGGTCTCACTCAGTCTCCCAGAGGCTCTGAGAGGCCTGGCCACTCAATCAAGAGTACCCAGCAACAGAGGCACGGCCTGAATGTGCCGGCACCTCCCTTGCAGTGGTGTCCCCCTCATCCCACATTCTGATGTCATCAACAATGTTGATGAGAGCTCCTTACAGGGGTGCTGTGCTGGGCACCCCCCAGCCAGGCCTTGTAGGGAGCTATGGCCCAGTGCAGTGACACACACTTAGCCCATTTTCAGGTGAGGAGGCCAAGGCTAACCTGAGGTGGCAGAGCAGTGACTAGAACTCATACATGGGCAACTTCTATGAAATGTACGGAGTTCAGCTGGGTGTGGGATACCCAGCCTGAGGACATCCAAACAGGCCCTCAGCACACCCACTGAAGATGCCCATTTCTTCAGGCTAAGGTGGGAAGAACTGATAAACAGGAGTCACCCCTCCCTAAAACCCGCAGCTGTAGGAAGGCTGGCCAAGAGCCCAGGGGAGGGCCCTAGGCTGTGGAAGAGGCCTTCTCTCCAACTACCTTGTGTACTTATTAATTTATTCAGGTATACACTCAGAAACGTTTACAGGAAGCTGGAGCAGAATGGGGAGAGAGGAACCTACCCACATGGGCGGGGGGCAGACAAACAGGAAAGCATACAAAGGGACCTCAGATGGTGTCAGAGATCAGAGGCATAGCACAAGGGGTGATGGGATTGTAGTACTGAGGAACAGAAAGGGCAGAGGGAAGGGTGCTCCAAACAGAGGGCATAGCACATGCAAAGGCCCTGAGGCGGGGAGGCTGGTGTGACTGGAATTATGATTAAAGGAGAACACGGGGAAGATGATGGTGGGGAATGGGCAGGGCCTGCAGTCTAGTTTGGTTTTATGAGAAGAGTAACGGGCAGCCACGGGTGAATTGAGAACAGAGCTGGGGCAGGAATCACAGGATAGCACTTCAAGCTTCCTCAGAAACTGCCTGGCAGCATCCATGCCCCCATGTGACAGATGAAAAAAGACAAAGATCACAGGACCTGAGGGCTACCCCATGGTCATAGAACTGTTCCAAGGTTACACATGTTGCCAACCCAGAAGTCAAAGTCAGGACAGCCTAGCGTAAGCAAGGGGTCCTTCTCTGAAACGCTGGCCAAGTCCCTGGTGAGGGGAGTCAGGGCACAGTGAGTGGGGCAGAGGTCCATGTCAGTCCCACTGAGCTGGCAGCACACGCCCAGCTAGAAACAGGGGAGACATGGACACAACAGGGAGGTGGGACCAGGGTGATGCTTCAACAGATATTTGTATCAGCCAATATCCATGAAAACCAGGAACTTTCTGGGAAAGAGGCTTGAGCTGACATGAAGAGTGGAAATGGGGCCTTTCTCAGGCTAGAAGAAGTGAATGACCAGCACAGAAGCGGGGATTCCGAGAGAGGAAAGGGGTCAGATGCGATACCTGGAGCCCAAGGGTCTTGAGGCTGCTCTGACCCTGACTGGGCCATGTGAAATGCATGAGCTGCCAGGTGACCACAAGCTACCCCTGAGTGTGACTGCAGAGAAGGAGAGCTAATTCTGCCAGGCATAGCTGTCTGGGGACCCTAAGAACACTTGGGAAGTAATGTGGGCATCAGGAATAGTAACAGTGATGTTTATCCTACAGATGGGAAACTGAGGTTCAGAGAGAAAAGGCAGGCTGCCCGAGCCACCCAGCAAGCAAGGACCTCAATGTGGTCAGGAGAGAGAGTGCAAGAGGGTCCTCCTGGGGTGACCAACGTGAAACTAAGACAACCAGGCACCTTCCATGTCCTAGCTCTGCTCCAACACTGAGTGGGGCTATCTGTCCCTCCACTCCATTTTACAGATCAAATGGAAGCTCAGAGAGGCTAAGTCACTTACTGAAGGCCACATAGCTGAGTCGGGGCTGGATACTGAGCCCCCCCAGCTCCCCAAGACAATGTATGCTCAGGACAAGTAACAACTCTGGTGCTTGCAGACCCCAGACTCATGCCAACCATGGTCCCAGCCACCTGTCTGTCAGTAATATCAGTTCCTATATCCCAGGCTGTTCTCAAAACCTCTCCACTTTCCTCAGACTCCATGGTTTACCCAAACATCCACCCTTCCTATTCTCTGAGACCACTGGCTGAAGCATCCCCACAGCGCCATGGAAGAGAGCCCTCTATCCTTCAACTAACGGTCTTTTATTACCAGGCACTGTTGGCTGGCCTGGGGCCCCAGAGATGGACCAGCCTCAGTCCCTGCCCTCTGGCCAGGAGAGCAAGGTATCTTTGACCCAGGTCAAAAAGATACAGGTGAGAAAAACAGGAACAGGGAAAGAAATGGACTTGAAGAGGCCAGAGCAGGATCCCTGCCCCACTCTGAGACTGGCCAGTATGGCAGCCAAATTTTAGATAGCACTTTGCCCCAGGCAGTGCAAGGCCCTTCTGGTAGGAAAGAGCTGGAGGGATGGGTAGGATGGGTGATACCAATGCTGTTGGCTGGTGAGGGGAGCACAGGACCCAGTGTAGACACCTTACCATTGCTCCCTCAGCTTGTACCTGGTGCCAGTCAGAAAACACCTCTCGCTGAGTTGGGGGAGGAATCTGCAGGACAGATTGGCAGGACATGGATCTCCCCTTTTCCTGAGTCACATGACTCACCCAGAGTCTCAGGCCCAGACTGTGGCTGGGTCATGGTGCTAGGTTGCCCTTCTGGCCAGTCCACAGCTCTCGGAGCTCTACATGGCAGCCCAGGTCCCGCAGGGCAGCCTTGGCCACATCCTCGCAGTCTCGGTGGGCAACTCGGGCCTGAACAATGAGTGCTTCGGCCCCCAGGTCCAGGATGAGCTGTGAGAAGGCCTGGCTTCGGGCCACTAGGTTTCGGATCAGCATGCAGGCCTGTTTCTGGAAGGAAGAGCAGAAGGTAAAGGCTGTCAGCTGGTCTGTGGGGCCCTAGGGTGGCATCCACTCTGACCTTGAGGTTACTCCCATAACATACTAGTTCAACCATGACCACAGCCAGCATTCAGCAGGTGCTATGCTATGACTCATCAGGCCAAATGCATTCTTTCATTTCATCCTCTCAGCAGCTCAGGAGGCAGGGCAAATCCCCAATTTCCCAGGTGAAGAGACAGAAGTCAAGGGCTCAGTAGGCGGAGCTGACCCCTCAGGTATAGATCCTCAGTCTCAGAGTCTGGCAGGGGCCTCAGGGGAGGAGGCAGCAAGACAGAGAAGAGGGGCTATGCACAGGGCCCATCTGTCAATTACATCGGTACTCCTTCTGCTAACATTTGCACCCTGCATATCTGCTATGCATGGGTGCCTAGAAGTACCCCAATAAGGCTTCCACTACCAGTGGGAGAGCAGATGAGAAGCAGATGAGGTGTGAGGGTCTCCTGGCTAGGGCAGTCAGGAGAGGACAAGGTAATGGGCCAGCCAAGAGCATAGTGTCCTGGAAGAAGGACCAGGAAGGAGAAGCGTGGGTTTCAGCCAGGGCGTGCATATGGCTTTGCCTGCAGTTCAGCCCTGAAGACTCCCCAGTGAGGCATGGAAAGCAGTCCAAGGTAGGTGGAACCACCCCAAATCCTAGCAGAGCCCCATCTGTTCTCTCCCATTACCTCCTCCTCCCCAGAGCATTACAAAGGGCTGTTGGGGAAAATCAAATGCAGGAAGCACAGAGAAACAGGGACAGTATACTATGAAGGATGCTATGTAGCTGCAGGACTATAGGAGATGGGAAAGAATAAGAACCCACAAAGCTTGGGCCATAATGGGGATGGGGACAGGGACAAGGATGTCCAGCTCCCACCTGCACGCCAGCCTCCTTTGGATGTGCCTTCATTGCCTCCAGTGCAGCCAAAGCCCCTCCACCCTTCACGATGACCTGGCTGTTCTCTGGTTTGCGCAGGGCCAGGACACACATGGCTGCACAGCTCTGTTCACACACCTGCAGGGTGGGTCACAAGGATGGCTGAGACCAGGCCAACAGACCCCTGCCATTGCCAACTTCCCAGGTGAATGCCCCAAGGCCTCACCTGGATAGACCACTGTCAGTCCAGGTGTGTATAGGACCAGTAGTAACAGGAACAGTATCAGGGTGACAAAAACCAAGCTCTTCTGCTCCACTTCTACCCTGCTTGCCCAGCCTCTCATTTGCCAGGCCCCTCATCCACCCTCCTTCTCCCTGCTCCTCTCTTATCCCAACTTGAGGAAACAGAAGAGCATCACTCAGATATAGTGACTAAGCTGGGATTCCAGGCACAATGCCCCACCTCGTGTGCCCCGGGTGATACCTGGGGGCTGGTCAGATGCCGGGTCATGGCAGCCACAATGCACTCTGTCCCTCCTGCACGGACAATGGCATCCTTCACATCATCGTTGCCCGCAATGGCTCGTAGGGCACTCAGCACCTGCTTCACAAGGTCCTATATGGAGGGTACAAAGGGGGTCACCCCTGATGCAGCCAGCCTCCTTCCCATAGATCCAGGCCTAACTGTTTGGTAGCTGTATTGTGGAAGGGGTTATTTAATGAAGGTCTGGGGCTGTTCAGCAGTCTGAACAACAGCTGGGGCTGCTCTAGGGCACTCAAGCGGCATGTAATAGCAGGGTTACTACTCACTATATAGGGAAGGCAGCGAATGTGGACCCTGCAGTTACAATGACCTTGACTTCCCCCCACCAAAACACAAACACAAAGCGGGGTCATTGGCTCAGGTCAGCAATCAGAACAACAGGGCCCTCTGGCCTCAGCTGCAAGCTAAGGGTAGGCACTGACTAACCTGACTGGTTGTTGTCACTGGGAGGGGTCAGGGACAGCAGGACCATTGCTGCCAGCAACCAGGATGCCAGGCTCTAGTCTAGGCATGTGGAAAGGGAGTTGGTAAGTGACTGGTATATGAAGTAATGATGGGTCAGAATTCCTGCCCTGTTAAACAGATGGGAAAGGCCAGGTAGTGAGGGACAGGCCTCACTCAAGCATCACACAGTTGAGCTGAAGTCTGGGTCAGCTCCAGTGACACCCACTACTGCTCCTTCTAATCTTGGTAGAAAATATTGAATATAAAGGCGCTAAAGGATAGTTACAGAGGGCGGGGTGGGGAGGTTGTCTGCCCCAAAACTCTAGTTCCCACCTATGGGTCAATGAGAAGTGGAAACCACATTTTGGTTCTAAGATCAGCAGACAAGCCAGGTGACTCAGGCTGGGATGGCTGGCAGGGGCCCAAAAGGGCAGAGTTCCCTGGAAGGCTGGAGCCTTCCCTAAGCGTGGAGAAAAATGTCAAATCTGAATCCTAAGACAGTTCTGGATGCCCACCTGGTGGTCGATGCAGTCAGCCAACAGGGCCATCAGGACACCAAGGCCCCCAAGGTCTACGACCTCCTGGCAGAACTCATTGCGAACAGCCAGACGGGACAAAGTGCTGCAGAGCTCACTCAGGATGCTGGGGTTGTCAGGGAATGCTGCAGAGAGGAAGAGAGGGGAACTGGGAGGTTAGGATGGGGCAGAGGACCAGCCACAGCTCTGAGCTACCGGTCCTGGTTCAAATCCTGTTCCGCCCTCTGCCTGGGAGGGTGGCTGCCTATATCAGGAGAGCCTCAGCAAATACCAGGGGCTCTCTGGACCTGTAGCAGCCCCTGCTGGCTGCTGGAGAAGATACTAGATATCTCACGCCCCCAACCTCCTGCTCCCTCCACCTCCTCACCATGCCCTAGATAAATTCCGGACCAACTGATGGTGTCACCTAAAAAAAGAAAACCATAATAGTGCTATAATAAAACATCCAAGACTATTTTTATGATCTTGGGGTGGGAATGACCTTTCTAAGTGCAACAGGAAACCCAGAAACCATAGAGAGACATATGGATAGAGCTGACAAGGCAGAATTGAACAAAAACATGAAGACTGAGCTCAGAGGCACAGGGAGGAGAGGCTGCACTGAGGCCAATATGGGGTGGGGAAGGGATAGTGAGCCAAAATTTACAGAATTAACGTGATAGTTCGTCAGCTCTTGTGCCCCAGTGACTCCATGAGAGCTAATCTGGGTGTGCCATGGAGGTATTCTCTAAACATGGTGACATCCATCTGCCTTTAAGGAAAGTAAAGAACCCTGGATGGTCTGAGTGGGCCTCATCTAATCAGCTGAAGGCCTTACAGAGAAACTGAAGTCTCCCTGAGGAGAAAGAAGCACTCCTGTGGACTGTGGTGTCAGTTCCTGCCCCACGGATTTGACTTGAAAGCCCTATAACCATGTGAGCAAATTCCTTGGAATAACTGTCATTATATATCCACATATCCTACTGGTTGTGTCTCTCTGATAGAACCCTGACTGAAATGAGCTCCTGTAAATAAACGAGAAAGATGCAAATGACCCCTCGTAAAAGCAGCCTGACTTCCAAGATGATCAGGACCTGTTTCTGCAGTCAGCCAACAGGGCCATCAGGACACCTTCTCCAGGGGTGTGGAGGTGAAACTGAGGCAGGCCCACCTCCCTGGCAGACAGGGACAGAGTCCTGCACACAGACCTGGCTATGATGCCAGAGCCTCAGGCAGTCCAGGAAAGAAAACTCATTCTTCCACTACCTTCAGTACACTAAACCCGTCATGCCTTTTTTGGTGGGTGCACTGGACATGGGGCTGGAGCTTTGGGGTCTGAATGCCAGCTCTGTGACCTCCTGTGGCTTGCTTACTATGGTTACTCTGGAGTCAGGAACACGTACATGCACAAGAATTTGTGGCCAAGTTTGAACCAAAATGTAAAACCACTACCTGGAACCAATCATGGTGAATGCAGCAACACTTCCCCCATCTTTGGGAAACACCCTTGTTTTTCTCTTTGGGGAGCTCTCCCTTTCCCGCTCCCAATTTGGTTAGACAGAGCCAAGCCCCCTCCCCAAATGGCTTTAGACATGTTCATATGACTCAGTCATGGCCAATGAGCACTGGCCTGAAACTTTCCTGGAATAATTGGAAGTAAGGATACTGATCCACAAGGGCTATCATGTGGGTGGGATAGAGCCAAGACATGCAAGGTGAACCTAGATCCACATGCCTGAAGCAGTTCTAAGCCCTGACTCTAACTCTTGCCACATTTGCTCCTACCTTTGGCAGCCTCAATGAGCACCTTCAAGCCTTTGTTCTCCTGCACGATCATCTTGGCATGGTCGTGGGCATGGCCGAAGGGCACGCGAATGTCATCATCAAAAGTCATGATGCGGAGGCCCCAACAGGCCTCCCTGACCACATCAGCACAGTGGCTGTGCCGAGTGATGGCACCAGTCAACAGGGGCAGCACACCAGCCTTCACCAGATTCTGCCGATTCTGTTCGTGTTTCAAGCAGGCATGGCGAATGCAGCGGATCCCAGTGCAAATCAGATCAGTTGCGTCAGCATTCTGGGCCAAAGTAGCCACCAGCAGCTTTAGGCCCTGGGTGTCTAGGAGATCGGGTTGGCCATCGATCAGGGCTGACAGGGCGTTAAGGACCTGGAGCACAAGTCTCTGGTCACCTGCTGCAGCCAGCTTCCAGGCGGCAAGGACGATGGGGTAGGCACCCTTCTGAGCTGCCAGAAAGCGGCAGGCTCTGTGCTGTTTGCACTGCTCACAAAAGCGGGCAAGTTGCACTGACACCTCCTGGGGGCGACAGCAAGCCACGGACTCCTGCAGGTCTTCCAGAGCCTATGAAACACGGGAGAAACCTCAATGTCAGCTCAGCCCAAAGAGGGCCACAGTGATAGTGCTGCACTCCTGCAGGATCCCCTCCCCTGGGGTCTGGGCCTGCACTGGAAGTTCTGTGGGGTCAATTCCAGCCATGTTGGCTTCCACACCTGTGCTTTTAGGAGCCTTGGGCTCCAGCCCTCTCAGTATCCCTGCCAAGGAGCCATATACACAACTGTAGATGTATTAAATATTCTAATGGGAGAGGTTCCAAGCAAGACCAACAGAACTGTCCAGCTGAGCTCATCAACCGAGCAGAATCCTAAGAAACAATAAAATGGCTGTTGTTTGGGGTTGTTTGTTATGCACCCATAACTTAACCAACACACCCTCCAATGGCCAGCTCTCCAACGAAGCTGCAAGCTGCCTTTTCTAGACCTGCTCACACCACATTTCTCCTGTCTCTCTCATTCACTCCACAAATATTTACTGAGGATCTACAAAATAAAACCAGTGTACACATAGCTGATTCACTCAAATTCAGCTCTAAACCCCTCGGGGAAAAATAATAATGAAAGAAAGCAACCTAAACAGGACAGACAAGTCTAGCTGCTATTCAACTCCATGACCTCAATGCCTGCCTGATTAGGAGCGTTAAGATAAACCCATACCCCTGGAGCTTCTGAAATCACTTGTACCCTACCCAGTGAAAGGCAGTTCTATAGATACCATCAGCCCAAAGGGCTTTAATTTTGTTCAACTGTCCTGAAAGTCAAGGATGCCTGTCAGCCAATCTCACTAAACTAGATTTCTGGAGTTAACTGAGTATATGTTGCAATAAAGCAGAATATTAAGATAGGTTAAGATCAGAATAGTGTCTTGAATAGTTATTCCTCCAAAAAAAGATTCATGCATGGCCAAAAAGCACAGGAAAAGGTGCTCCACATCACTAATCACCAGGGAAATGCAAATCAAAACCATGAAATACCATCATACCCTTCAGGATGGCTACTCTCAGATCAACAGAAAAGAGGGGGGCATGACACCCAGAGGTTGGCAAATGCCCAGTTGCCACCAGGTACCCACAGTGGCTTCAGTGGCTCATGTGGAGGCCTGGCTGTGGCCTTGGCAGGAAGGCCTCCCTGATGCCAATTGGGGCTCTGTGGAACAGGAACAGAATAGAGGTTGGGCCCAGGACCATGGGCCAGGTAGTATGCTGATGGGCAGCTTGCCCATGCAGAATGGATGTGGCATTGGTGGAGATGGATGTCCTAGAGCAGCAATTTTCAACCACTGTGCTGCAGCACACTGGTGTGCTATGAAGAATTAAAACACAAGCCCTGGCTGGGCAGCTCAGTTAGTTAGAGCATCGTCCTGAGACGCCAAGGTTGCGGGTTCTATCCTTGGTCAGGATACATAAAAGTATCAACCAATGAATGCATCAATAAGTGAAACAACATATCGATGTTTCTCTCTTTCTCTCAAATCAATAAATAAAAAATAAAAAGATCCGTATTACATTCCTACAGATCATGGTCCATTAACCTATAACTGCTTCTGGAATGTTCTGAGAAGCTTCATCTTCCAGAGTGCTTAGGCTTCTGCTACTGCAAAGAACATTATTAAAAGAAAGAAAAAAGACCCTGGCTGGTGTGGCTCAATGGACTGAGTGCCAGCCTGGGAACCAAAGGGTCACTGGTTTGATTCCCAGTCTAGGGTACACACCTGGCTACAGGCCAGGCCCCCAGTAGGGGGCACATGAGAGGCACCCACACACTGATGTTTCTCTCCCTCTCTTCCCCTCTCTAAAAATACATAAAATCTTTTAAAGAAGAAAAAAAATAATTAAAACATGCAATACTTGAGTATTTAGTCAAGGGTACTGATCTCTTTTCCCTTAGATTGTCAAATAAAAAAATGAAATAAAAATAAAATTTTTAAAAAAGCAAAAAAAAAAAGTATTTAAAATAGGAGCTATTCTGTATGTAAAGAAAGGCAGGGTAATAATAAAAATTTTCAAAATGACAACAGCCAACACAACAATAGCCATCCAGTGTGAATGAATCAAAATTTTACCTATATTTTTGTAAGATCAGCAAAATATATATTTTTTGGTGTGCTGCAGAATTTTAGTATGTTATGTCTGCCATGAGATAAAAAAGGTTGAAAATTGCTACCCTAGAGGAACAGAGTTTCATGCTATTTTCCTCTTCTGCCTCTGATGCAGAATTTAGTACTGTGGTTGGATAATTAGAGAACATTATCATGGGTGAAAGTTTCAGTTATTACAGATAAATTTCATGGACAAGTACTACCAGGAGTTTGAAGACACAGAAGAGCATAAAATCACCTACACACCTATTTTGAACAAATATATTTCTTTAGTAGAAAAGTATATTGAAGAACAGGCAGGAGAGGATTCCTGGATTTAACATGTCAGCCTACACAACAACTTAGCACCATAAAGATGAAGTGGCTGGTGATATATTCAACATGCTGCTCACACTTACCAATTTTCTGGCTTTTAAAGAAATATTTCTGGACTTAAGCAGTGGCTTATTGGTAACTTCATTGAGCAAATCATCTTCTAGGCCAGAAACTCCCTAGCAGAATCTGCAGCACTAGGTTGCACCTCCAGAAAATAACATTTTTCTGGACATCAGTAGCACAGTGTACTGGGAGAGGCTCTGTTCTGCAACTCCTCACTAATGTCAAGTATTGATGGGTCAGAAAAAATTACCTGACCCTCCTGGCATCCATTTCTTCAGAAAACCTTGTGTTCAGTAACCCTTGTGTTCAGTACTCCTCTCTAAATGGACATCTCAGGGGCTTGAATCAGGCTCCTCTGGAGCAAGTCCATATCTAGCATTCCACCTGCAGGGACTTCCCCAGCATACATGTTGGTGTGTCAGCATGAAAGTTTTAGTCCTTCAGCCTCAATGGGGTTTTTACTGTTTGCCACATTTATCTGAAGTATTGCTCAAGCCAGCTGCCTGTCTTGAACTTTCTGGAGCTCCTACTGTTACAGTAAGTCTTAGCTGCAGGAATGAACTAAGAGAGATGTCCTTTACCTAAAAGCTACATGGTAAAGTCAATTATTAGTCTTACCACAGCAGAAGACACAGTGATACAAGGACTGTGTCTTTTGCTGGTTCTGATGTAGTACCACTGTTTCTAGTACTCTCTTTTAAGCATTTTTAAAAAAATATTTTTATAGATGAATATTCAAGCTAACTTGGAACTTCACGATGACCCACTTGAAGATCAAAGTATTATACGCTGTGTGCTTTTTAGTTGTTAGTGCTATGAAAGTGAAAATGCTTTCTGTGTTGGCACTCCTGTTTTACTGGGCACCACTGAATGTGTGCTTACGCTGGAAGTAAACTAAAGGTATCCTTCTCTCCTTTTCTTATAGCATGTTAAATGTGCAGGTTTGCTTAGATTTTTTTGCTTAGTTCATTAGGTTTTATACTGGGGTAGAGGGTCTGCAATTCCTTCTTCCTGTCAAAGCCTTCTTATTAAAACAGTGTTCTACTAGTTTAGCTCAGCAGGAATAGGAGAGGGCTTTACTGCTCATCTGTGTGCTTTGATTTAGTACATTTACTTAGTACAATGTTTGACAGGCTACCACTGACCAGAAAACATGGATCTCACATCCCTAGAAAGAAGAAATATAGTTCAGTTCTTAAGGTATATCTTAGATATTTTTTTTCAAGTAAAAATAAGAATCTGTACAGACTTTTCACTTGGGTGTTCTGGTTCTAAAGGATGAGCTATAGGCTATGTGTTTTCTGTACTGATGTGGCATTTATCGTACACAATACTTTTAATCAAAGTATTCTGTATCATGATTAAAATTTGAGGTGTTTTGCAAGAACCATGGTTCTAAAAAAACAAACAAACAAAGAAAAAAAAAAAGAAAGAAACCCAGAAAATAACAAGTGTTGGTGAGGACATGAGGAACTAGAGCCCTACACATTGGTGGGAATGTGAAATGATGTAGCCACTTTGGAAAACAGTCTAGTGGCTCCTCATAAAATTCAGTATAGAAATACCATATGATCCAGCAATCCCACTTCTGGGTATACACTCAAAAGAATTTACAGCAGGATCTTGAAGAGATGTGTGTATATCCATGTTCATAGCAGCATTACTCATAAGAGCCAAAAGGTGGAAGCAACTCAAGTATCTAGCAATGGATGAAGGAATAAACAAAATGTGGTCCATCCACACAACAGAATATTATTCAATTTTAAAAAGAAAATTCTGACACATGCTACAACATGGATAAACTTGACATTATGCTCTGTGAAATAAGCCAGACACAAAAGGACAAATACTGCAAAATTCCACTTACATGAAGTTCCAAAAGTAGTCAGACTCATAGAGACAGAAAGTAGAATGGTGAGTGCCAAAGGCTGGGGGAGGTGCGAATGGGGAGTTAGTATTTAAGATAGGCAGAGTTTCAGTTTGAGAAGATGAGGAAATTTTGGACATGGATGGTGGTGATGGTACACAATGATGTAAATGCACTTAATGCCACCAAACTATGTACTTGAACAGTTAAGATAATAGAGTTTATGTTGTATATATTTTGCTACAAAAAAACAAAAACAAAAGTTGCAACATTTTAGCAGGAACCCTACAAGAAACTTGAAAAGCATATACTGTGTTAAGTCATTGAGAACACATAACCAGAGTTATACTTACTCTATATTCAGTCTGCTAAGAGAGGAAAAGAAAATGAGCAATACTTGCACACTGGTATCCACCAAATTTATGGGAACTCCCTTCTTGTCCTGGATCTTATCATAATGCCAGGTCTCTGAGTCAACTGGTTAAGGTGGTTGTCTTCATGGTTCCTAGGTGCTGCCTGTGACCCCAAACCCCCACTGGTGGGCTTAGCAGAGGACAGTTGATAATGTGAAGGTGGCAGAGCCAGCTGTGTCCCACCTGTGACAACTCAACATGGTGACAGGGCTTTGTCCACCAACCATGGGGTCATTTTCTCTGTGACTGACGGATTTTATCCTGCAACTTCCCACATATAAAACTAGCCAGGCTCACTTTCTATTCAGAGAGTTCCAAGTTTCATCTTGGTTTTATTTCTACAAGCCTGTTTGCAATACTCCATAATTCTAGCAGATTCATTTCAAAAGGCATCACAAAGGTGACTTTTTCTCATGTATCAGAACCATGACACACAAACAGAGCTCAATGGTGCCATGGTGTAAGAAGGGTTTGGTTCAGCTGCAAGGTGAGAATAAGGGCTGAGAGATGCCAACCTCAATGTGTATGGCACCACCCCCAGGGAAGAGTGAGAAAGAGGCTGGTAAGATGTAAAGGACAGAGACTTTCAGATTTTACTATAAATGCTTGAGTATTGCTTCACTCTTTTATGCCAAGAATATATTCACATTCTTCTTCTGTAATGAATAAAATTTTCAAAGTGAAATTAAGAATAAAAGAGCAAAGGCTGTAAACAAACAAGAATCTCCTATACTGCTGGTAAAAGACCTCCTAGTCATTCTCTGAGCTTGGCTTCCCTGGGAGAGGGACCTGGGTCTGGGTCCCAGCTCTGCCCCTCATTGACTGTGACCATAGGTGAGTCATTTATTCTTGGGAAGCCTCAGATTCCTGATTAGCAAAATGGGCTAATCGCAGATTGTGATAACACGGTTTAAGTATTTAGCACAATGCTGAGCACTTCACAAATGCTGACCGCTAGAGATCATTGTTACTAAGATCCTTCATGTATAAAGGGCATCTACAAATCAATAAGAAAAGAAGATAAACCACTCAAAAGAAAAATTGCCAGAATACAAGCTTATTTTAAAATACATTCATCCTTGCCAGGCCAGTGTGTGGCTCAGTTGTTTGGAGCATCATCCCACAACTGCAAAATCGCAGGTTTGATTACTGTCAGAGCATATACCTAGGTTCCAGGTTCAATCCCCTGTCTGGGTGGGTACAATCCCCAGTCTGGGAGCGTACAGGAGGCAACCAACCGATGTTTCTCTCTTTCCCTGCCTCTCTCACTTTCTCTCTTTCTAAAAAAAGCAATTAAAAAAATTTCTTAAGCTGGGGATAAAAAAATAAAATAAAATACTTTCATCCTTACTAGTGAAGAAAGTCAAAAGAAAACAATAGGATGATTTTCACAAAACTTCTGCAAGGCAGGAGATGGTGAGTACTCTGAGGACAGGAAGAAGTAAGCATCTTGCCTTAGAGCTGGGATCACACCCAGGACTATCTCCTTCAACTTCTTTCATCACTACACTTCCTTGCTGCCAGGAGAGTCATTTTATTCTCTTTGGATCTCAATTTCCCCACCTGTAAAATGGGGATAATAATCCCAACCTTGCAGGTGGTCTTTGGGAGAATAATTGAGATAGCACAAGGAAAGCACCTTGCACAGAACTGAGTCCACTTTTGGTGGAACCTTCTGCTGTTTTATAACAGCCTACCACTGTTTGATGGATGACCTTAGGAAAAGGACTTAACCTCTGTGAGCTATACCTTCCTTGTTTGGATCACTGGAGGGTGAGGGCAGGCTCTGAGCCTTCATTTCCCTATCAGTAATTCTGGGATAACATCGCCTACTCTACAGGCCAGTTTAAGTGCTAAGGGGACAGGCTATAATGTGCTGGTAGATAGTCAATACTCAATAGGCAACAGCCTCACTATGATCTCACTCTCTCTGAGCAAACTTGGTGGTTGGAAAGTCAGAGAGAGGATCCTGCATGGTGCTGTCCACCCTCAAGAGACCTCAGACATGGATTCAGGGAGCCCTAGCTGCAAAGCAAACTCAGGACCACCTTCACATGCTGGGCAGGCCCTGATCTTCAGAGCCTATATCTGCCATCTGGGAACCAGGGAAAAGGTGCCCCTGACAGACCCTTACAAGATGACACATGTAGGACACTGGACAGGCACTAGAGAGGCACCCAGATGTAGGACCACACATGTAAGCCCTGCCCACATGGGTTGCCCCCTCCTACCTGCAGGATGTCATGTGTGAGCTCCTGAGGTCCATCTTCAGAGACTTTGGGTGCCATCTTTATAATGTTGCTCAGTTCAACCCCTGCAGGAGAGTGGAGGAGTTAGGAAGCACAAGTGATAACCATCATCCCTGTGGGCCTGCCAGGGTCACACCTCATGTCCCTTCCACTGGTTCCACTCACTCGGGACTTCTGGGATCTGCCCAGGTCCCCAATTCTCCCCCTCCTCACCCAGGCCAAACTCAGCAGCCAGGGCCACGTGGAGGTGTGGAATGAAGGGGGAGTATTTGCTCCTCAACCCTGTCCAACTGATGGGAGCAGAGCAATACTGAGGTTGCACACCATCACTGCAGTGAGAGGCACATTCTACCTAGTGGGCTGAGAGAGGAGGGGATCCCACAGTTTTCTCCCTTGGGGCTCCTTTTACTCCTCACCCTGCCTGTATCCCTTCCCTCAATGGCACTTCCAAAAGAAGCCCTCACCATGCAGAACACTTCTGGGTACCTCTCTAGTACCTGTCCAGTGTCCATATCCCACTCTATACCTGAGACACTAGCCCCTGACCTCTGAGCTTAAACCCCTGGGCTCCCTTGCCCTCTGGCATCTGATTGGGTTTGGCCAGTGGGAAGCTAGATTCTTGATCTGGAGTGGAAGGGCGGATATTCGTGCCCAACTCCCTGACTCTGCCTTTGTCAGATAATCCTCGTTCCCTCCTGTGGACTGTCCTGGGGTGGGAGAGGTCCCTACTGCTGCCGGCAGGGTCTCCTAACCCTGCCCACACCACTACAAAAAATCCCTTTTTAACCAGTCCTCTCCATGACCTGGAGAGACACCCACTTATGCCTTCTTAAGCTCAAGCCAGGGTATAGGTGGGGCAGGGAGGCAGGTGGTCCTGTTTCTTGGGATGTGGACAGAAAACACCTTTTCACATAAGTGACAATTAAAATGAGACCCAACTCGAAGGATCCAACCCTACAAATGACTGGGTAAGGTCCACACAAGTAGAGGGTGGAAGCCAGCAAAGTGGAAGCAGGTAGCCAGCCTGCCCAAGTCAGAGCATAGAGAGGGTACAGAGCCCAGGGATGCCATTCCAGGTGAGCTGGGGCCATAGCAAGAAAGCACTATCACATGTTAAGAGTGGTAGACTGGAGAGGACTATTCAGCAAAGACCTGGACCAGGCCTGGGATTGAGCCATGCCACCCTACCTTGTGATTCAAACTGTTCCACAGCCTCTTTCACTGCCTCCTCTGGCCCCATCTCAAATTCCTCAATGTTCTCACGAACAGCTGCATCAAAGGTCTCCTGGGTGATGCGCTTGGAGGCCATCTTCATCCCTTCCTGGTGGGGCTGATAGGTGCCCAACAGATGCTCCTGAGATGAGAAGTTAAAGTGAGAAGAAAGCTTCATTAAGAGCAAGAGGGCAGCTGGGAGCCTGCTCACCACTTAAGGAGCATTTACTGGGGCTGGGGCCATATGAACACCCTGGAAAAATTTTTATAACCTGGATCACAGAATAGAATGATATTCCAACATCACTATAGCTTCTAAAAGTGCAGAGTAAAATGGTTTACTACATTTTATAAGAAAAGGGAATATTAACATAGTATATATTCTCATAATAAAAAATAACAATAAGGATAAAATAGCTTAATATGTTAAAGAATTAAAGCATTACATAAAATAATAAAGTAGTATTATTATATGTAGTTATATACAAAAATGCCTTATATTATTACAATATTACATTATATATTATAACTACATATCATTATAGTTATGTCTATATAATCATAACAAGGCAATGTCATGTTATAATAGTATACTGTTATACTAATAAAAGTTTCTTTTTAAGATTTTATGTATTTATTTTAGAGAGAGAGGAAGGGAGGGAAAAAGAAAAGGAGAGAAACATTGATCGGTGCATCTCCTACATGCCCCCAATGGAGGACCTGGTCTGCAACTCAGGCCTGTGCCCTGACCAGGAATCAAACTGGCAACTTTTTGGTTTACAGTTTGACACCCAACCCACTCAGCCACACAAGTCAGGGTTTACTAATAAAAATTTTAAATAAAAATTAATAAAATAGACTAAAAAAGGGTTAAATCAAAAACTAATAGAAATAGTTACTTTGAGGGAAGACAGAGAAAAGAATGCTGAGGACAGGACTAGAAACTGGATTGTTCTCTGTGAACTTACCTTGTTCTCTTGAACTTAATCTTACCTTACAGGTTTGAATTTGGAGCACATGCAAATGCTTGATGTGGTTAGGAAAAGAAATAAACTAATATAAACCAAAATAAAAAAGGAGTCCTTAAAAAGCAAGAGTAAAATGAAGCCCACAAATCTAACAGTATATCTGCCCTGATCAGACCACTTCATGTGATTTTAAAATGCAGCGATATGACTGTACATTCTTACTAAGATATATGTTAAGGATAGTATAAAATACAAAAGAAAATCTTGAACAGTTTTCAGTAATCATGTTATTAAAATTATTATTTTTACCTGAAACTATTATATATGTAGCAAATAAGTAATACTGTTCATGTCTGTTGGGAACTGCCCTACCTGGTTTCAGGAGCTGTAACCCCCTCATGGCTAAGGCTGAGTGAGGGATCTTGGGGCCATAAGCCACTGCAGAGACAAAGCTTATCTCCCAGGCAGGGGCGCTGCCTCTGCTCCTTTTACTTCATGCTGCCTGGCTCCCAGTGCTTGATCTGTTAGTCAATGATGGGTAAGATTCCTCAAGGGAGGAACAATCTAAGACAGGCATAATAATGGGGGCCTCCAGGGAAGAACTTGGGGGGCTACAGCAAAAGGGGGTGAGGGACCCTCACCCCTCGGCTGTGACATAGCCTGAGTCCTCATTCTGTCTGTGAGAAGTCTCCTAATCTCTTGGCTGCCTTACTTCCCCTGCCTGACTTAAGTCTGAAACAATGCTGGAGATGGGTGCAGCCCTGTGCTGGAAAGGGCAGGTTCCCTAAGGTGATCAGGCCTAAGAAAGAATGCATAAAATCCTATGAAACCTACTTTGCTAATACCCTCAATTTAAATAAGGGACCAAGCAGGAAGTGAGTCTGTTCCTCAAAGTTTTATGGCCCTTTAACTATCTGACCCTGACTCAGAATAAGCCCTCTGAGTTCTTTGAATGTTATCTATTGTTTAATCATTTCTGCCTGACAATGATTGATGAGCTTTATTCCTGTGCAAATTGAACTCAATAAAAACCTGTCAAGGCAAGGGTCGGGGCACTCTCCCCTTGAGAGAGTGGCCACACCGTCCCTTTTCCTCCAAAGGACTCAGTAGTCCATGTGAATTTGTCTCATATCTCGTCCACAATGTCGTGGACCCCAGGAGCCGGGGTCCGTGTCAATGTCATTAGGTACCAGCATAAAAGAAAAAGATTCTAATGTAAGAAAACCAAATAAGTAAAAACTCAGAATTCCTAAATTTGAACTGGAAGTATCAATACAAACTTATGATATATATTCTCTGAAGCAAACAACTCCCCCCTCATTTTTATAGTTGTATCAACTGAAAATACCTAGAGGAAATGACACCACAGCAGCAATGAGCACTTCAAACACCAACTGTGGTCTCTAACCAGCATAACCAAAGCTCCTGGAGAACTGGCTGATTCCAGGTCTGAGCAGGAAATAGGCCAGATGAGCCAGGAGCATCTTGTGAGAGCAGAATGTAAGGAAGCTTCTAAAGACATTGAAGTCATGTCAAAGGACTTGAGCGCTCACTAGCTGAAGACGAGATATGGGAACATTAAAAGAAAATCCAATAGATATCAAAATCAAAATCTGCACATTCACAATAGTATTAAAATAAACCTAACTCATTCTTCTGAAAACTGGCAAATAAAGAAATCAGCATTTGCCCTGGAAAGTGTGGTTCAGTTGGCTGGAGCATCATCCCGTAACCGAAAGGCTGCAGGTTCAATTCCCTGTCAGGGCACATAACTAGGTCATAGGTTCAATCCCTAGCCCGGGCATGAGTAGGAGGCAACCAATGTTTCTCTCTTGCATTGATGTTTCCCCCCTGCCCACCTCCCTTCCTCTCTACTTAAAAGCAATGAAAAAATGTCCTTGGGTGAAGGTCAAAAAAAAAAAAAAAGAAAAAGAAAAATTCTGCTTCCCTCACACAAGTGGATGGATACCAGGTTATAATAAAAGGATATGGGTAAGTTCTGCCTTATAGATGAATTTCAGCTAATCGACCAAACAGGATAGATTTAGACAATGATTCTTGCGGGCTGCAAAACTATGAGGTATAAAATTGATGGGGAACCTGACATCAGGTGGACAGTGTGTGTGTCCACTGAATGATTTCCTGTTATCAAAAGAAAATCCCTATACCACTGCTTCCTGGCCAGAACGAAATGCACCTGTGAAGTCATCTCGCCAAAAACCTTGGACCTGAATCTGACCATGCATCCAGTGGAATTTTGTGCAATGACAAAGTGTTATTTATCTGTGTAGTCCATGTGAGGTTGAGCAATTGAAACATAGTGAGTGCAACCGAGGACCATGCACTATTACTTAATTGTAATTGAATTTAATGTAAATAGCTACAAACGATGAAGGAATATCATATTAAATAGCCCAGCTCTAGATCTGATGGTCCCTGATCAAATTCCTCCATTTTCTTAATGTGGTCTTATAATTTTTTTCTCCTGGTCCACACACCACAGAAAGTCTGTTAGGAGGAAAAAGGCACAGGAGTACTAGGACAGCGGTACTGGATTGTGGCAAGAATCCAAGTGCAAATTTGGGCCCTGAGGGAAAGGGATCACTCTAGCACATGCTCCTTTTTGCAGAGGTGGCACAGGGATGTGACTACTCCATCTGTGTTTGGGCACACACTCCAGGAAAGAGGAGGACAGGCTCTGGGGATGACAGGGGAAGCACACAAATCCCAAGCCTTCCACTTAACCTCATTGTTCTTCAACTGCCTCATGGATGACATGGGAATAAACACAGTGGAAATTCAAGTAGTTCATTCCTAAAAAGCACTTAGAACAGGATTTGGCATACATTAGGGGCTTAATAAACATTACTTATTAGTTCCTTTCATTTGTTGCTGTAGAGGTAAAATGTCCAATTTATTTGTGGAAGTGGGGGCATAAGGGCATCAAATGGCCTACTTGGCACCCTTGCAGACAATTGTCCACTCCTTTCTGCCCCAGAAGAGTCTGTTAAGGGGTTGTTAAGGATTCCAAAGTCAGAAGTGAAGGAAAACAATAAGGATTTTCTGTTTTGAGATAGTTTCTCAGCAGAGAGTCCAGGATGGTGATGGTGGGGTGTTCAATGGCCAGCTCCATGGGACAGAAACTTCCAAGCTGGTGCCACTCCTGGCTCTGCCACCTGACACTGCTTCCACCACACTGGCTATGCTTCAGGTCTGAGTGGGGCGACAGTGAGAGTTCACTGTCACAGAGGCAGTCTTGAAAGGGAATGCATACTTTACAGATGAGGAATCTGAAGACTAGAGAGGGAAGAACCCACCAGAGGTCATGCAAGTAGTAAGAGGCCTGGCCATTGTGCAATCCTGCCTCATTAACACCTCTCCTCCACATGGGTTCTCTGAGGAACTTCTAATATAGGAGAGGGGCATGAGAATTACATAAATTAACTAAAGTTAAACAAAGGTAAGGCAGAGGCCTGCTATGTGCTGCCTGACTACATACTGCCTGACACAGAACTCAGCTGCCTGGAGATGCAAGGAGACCACAAGGAGCCTCTGAAACAAAGATTCCTGCAAAGAGTGACTAATACCTGCTCACCCATACCTTATCATTTATCCATACCATTAAAAAAAAAACAAAAAAAAAACAGACCACAAAATATACCTTGTTAGGGTTAAAGTTAATCCCAACATTTTCTTCCCACTCTGTATTTCCCCATACCAGTAATTTTTCCTAGAAACTACAAACAGATATAAGCAACAACCTCTTGAGGCAGTTGGGGTCTCCCTTCTCTTGCAAGGGAAGTCTACCGCTCTGTCTGTGGAGTGGCTTTTCTTGCTTATGCTCTCTGCTCAATAAACTTGCTTCTGCTTTGACCCCTTGCCTGGTTCACATTCTGAATTCTTTCCTGTGAGAAGCCAAGAACCCTCTTGGCTCCGATTTCCCTTGGAGACTCACCCCTCCAGCATCTCTGTTACCAGGGAGGCCCAAGTTAAAGGGCTCCCACTCTTTTGTTCTTGTCTCGATTGCAAGAGATGAATTCAGGTGAAAGACAATATATAGTAGAAATGACATAGCAAGTTTATTTATGGAATACACTAGAGTATGAAGCTGCAAGCTGGCACCCAACTAGTCTAAGGATATCACCTATTGGGGTTTTATGCTTGTAGCCAGTTTTCCCTCTTCTTCCCTTCTCCAGATCTTGGAATTAACATTTTCAAAGGCTTCCTTTCCCAAATAATAGAAAGGACACACAGGGAATTTCAAAGGCTCCCCTCCTGTGCTCTCATGGTCTCTCCTGTGATCTTCGGAACACCTGAGAATCTTATCCGACTGAGCTCTAGACTGCAGAATGGGTGAGACATGTCTCCCTTACCCTTCCTGCCTTGGTTTGTTATCTATTCTGCCTAATATCTCCACCAGCTCTTCCAGGCCACCTACCTCTGGGAGCCTTCCCTAGTCACTTACATAGAGCCTGTGCACTCTGCCTTGCTCTGTACCCCATCCACCCCACCCTAAGAACCTCCCTCTGCCCAGCCTTGAGCTCCCTGAGCTGGGGAGATCAGTGTCTGGCTCTGGGACCACCCCTGGAGTCCTTCAGGATCTCCTTGGTCTGGCACTGGGTGGGAAACAAAAATATCCATCTGGAGCAAATGAGAAAGATGATGCCTGAGGATGGTCATCTGGGAGCTACCTGAGAAGAGCCCAGGCCAGAAGATGGGGGAAACTACTGACCTTCACAATGGGTTCAAGGTGTTAGGAGGAAAGAAGGGGATTAATAAGGCCTCCAAACTGACATCCAAGGTTCATCCACGAAAATGGTGTACTGTGCTCCGGCTGTTGTAGCTCAGTGGATTGAGGGTGCAACTGTAAAAGAAAGGGTCGCAGGTTTGCTTCCCACTCAGGGCACATGCCTGGGTTTCAGGCCAGGACCACAGTAGGGGGTGTTGGAGAGGCAACCACACATGGATGTTTCTCTCCCTCTCTTCTTTCCTTCTTCTTTCTCTAAAAATAAATAAATAAAATATTTAAAGAAAAAATGGTGCATGGAAACATCAGGGACTATGAATGACTCCTCATCTTTCTCCACCTGCCATACCCACTCTGGTTCAGGCACCATCCTCTCCAATAGGTGGCCTCGCTAGCTCCTCTCTGCCACACCCTAAGCATCTATTCTCCACAAAGACCACGTTACTCACCTGCTCAAAATCCTGCAGTGGTTTCCAACCCTCTCAGAACAAAACCTAGTCTCCTAACCAGCTCTTTTCCTACCTCAACCTTCTTACCTGTGTTACCCTACATCTTTCTCATCCTTCCCAGCTAGCAAGCGACAGCTTTCATAATCACTCTGGTTAAAGTAGCTCCCGTCTCCTCTCCCATCTCTCTTTTGTTATTTGGATATTACCTCTACCTAGAGCGACATGGTTCATTTACTTGTTTGTATTGTCTAACCTCTTCCCCAATGAAATTTAATCTCCATGACAGCTGAACCCAGGCCATTTTATTCTCCACCTTCTCCTCATTACCTAGGACGGGGCCGGGCACACAGCAGGCACTCACTACACAGGTAGTGAATGAATAACTGAATGAAAACACGCGAGGGCCAAGAAAGAGGAGGTTTGTATTACCGGGCGGCTTTTGTAAGAGTCTTTCATTCCTCAAAACCAAGTCCTCGAGGGTTGCCCACAGTCACCAGCCCGACCCGGCAGCGCCCGCTCCCCGTACTGCGCGCGAGGGGTTTCGGCGGCTGCAGCCTCTCACCAGGTCTTCACGGCCACGTGAGAAAAGGTGAGGCTCGCGTCTGGCACCCGCGGCACCGCCTCTGGCCCCTTCCGGCTGCCGTACGCGCGCAGGCGCGCCGATGCCGCCCCGCTTCGGCGTCCCACAGCCGGGCGAATCGCTCCGTGAGTGACCAAGGGCGATTGCTAGCGCAGGTAAAGCCGAAAAGGAAAACAGGTGCGCGGCAGTGGCGTCTCTGCTGCCTTTTTCGGGGTGCGGTTATCACCACCCACGGAAGGGAAATTTTTCGCCTTAGGAGCGTTCGCCTGAAGAAGCAGGTAGCGCGCCTGTGCGAGAGGGCGCGGCGGCGGCTGCCGCCTGCGCTTGCGCACCACGGCACAGCGTCGCCCTGCGCCTGCGCGGCACGGCTTTGCAGAGACCGTTGGCTCATTTGCATGTCCCCGCCTCCCGCGGCGGCGGCGAAGGCGGTGGCTGAGGGGTCTGAGGTGTCGGCGGGGGCGGCTCCGCGCGCGGTGGGCTCGGGGTGAGGCCCGGACCGGGCACGGTCGGTGGGTGGGCTCTGGGGTAAGGGACTAGGACTCGGCTTTTGGGGGCCAAGGGGCCCCGCGATTGCTCTGTGGGCTTGGCCCTTGGAGCTGCACAGCTGCTGCGTCTCCGACGGATCGGCCTGAGGGGGCGGTCTGCGGCCTCCTAGACCCGATGCCCCCTTTTCTTCGTCCTCGGAGGCTGGGAGCAGGCGGACCACAACCTGAGGGATTCATTCGTTCCCTCACTCATTCATTCCACCCGAGCCCGGATCGGCCTTTCTTATGAGGCGATCGGGGAGGCCGAGACCAGTATCCGGCCCTTTGCCATTTTGAATGGGTTCAATCCCTACAGCAGCCCCACCATTGCCCATTCTATAGATGGCAGAAAGGTTAGGTCGCTTGAATTTGATCCCTGGCCGCCTGCCCCGAAGACCCTTCCCTTCGCCGGTAGAGAACAAGGGGCGCCCTAGGAAAAGGGCTGAAGGATGGAAAAGGAGGTGATGGTTCTAAGGAAGACTGTAAGGCAGGCGCAGGCTTGGATCTTGGGTTGTAGGTTTCAAGTTGGAAGAAATATGGTTAAAAACAGGCCGCCACAGGATTCCCCAGTGTTCCTTCTTGCTCAGTCTTTTTCTACTTAATCTTCAGGCTTTGTCCCCAGGCTCTAGTCTTGGCTGGCTGACCTTGGGTGAGTCGCTTAGCCTGAGGCTCCCATTTCTTCTTTTTAATATTATTCATAACAGGACCCACTTTTTCACGGGGTTGTTTCAAGTAAATGAATTCTTCCCTACAACTGTCACTAGTTCATTGTCCCTAGTCAGGGATCCCTCCAAGAGGCTTCTCCCTGAGGGGAAGTCGGTTCTTAGAGTCCCTTGGCCGTTTTTTGAGAAATGGGAACAATCACATCTTTCCTAACCACCATGTGAGAGGTTTGTGCTCCCATTCCCCTACACTTTTCAGTGATGTTCAGTGATGTGTTCTGCTTCTTGCAGTCCAACAACCCCAGGAGATAAGGACTTCTTTTGTAGAGCTTTCAAAGGATTCTGAGGAAACAGGCTCAGAGAAGCAAAATAATAGGTCCAAGATCACCATGCTTGTCTTGTTCCTTCTCAGCCACCACACACCTGTGAACCTTGTGGGGGCAGAGGCCCCTTAAAATAATCCGACCTTTTTCTGAGGTACCAAGCTGGATTATGGATTACTGCCTCGTTACTTTGAGGATTAGGTGCAATAGAGAGCTGGCTCTCTGAGCATTGGTTGTCATTCTTAGTCTTTTTTTCCTATCTGACTACAGGTCAGAGAAACATGGCAGCAAGGCGAATTGCACAGGAGACTTTTGATGCTGTATTACAAGAAAAAGCTAACCGGTATCACATGGACCCCAGTGGTGAAGTTGTAGGTGAAGCTCTGCAATTTAAAGCTCAAGGTAAATTAAAGTGCTTGATTGGATGTGGGGAGGGGCCAAGGAATGGGGCATTTAGGGTCAGAGCAGGAGGATTTAAGTCCCTTGGGCAAACTATGTAAACTAAGTTCTCTGATCCTACATTCCTTATTTGTTAAGGGAGGATGAAGTTTTCTGTGGGTCTGCATGTTAAATCACTATGTAGAAGAAAGGATTGTCATCCTTGAAGCTTCTCCTCCCAGCAACCCTCCCCCATTTAAAGAAGGTTTTTTTTTAATTATTATTATTGTTATTTTATTATAGTCCCAATTTTTACCCCTTTGCCCTCTGCCCAACCCACCTCTCCTCCCACAGTCAGTCCACACACCGTTGGCCATGTCCCACCATTGCTCAGGTTTGAGCTCTTATCAGTGCTGGCCTGTATTATTTCAATAATCTCCTCCTGAATGGTCTCTCAGCTTCTGGCATCATTCCCCTCAAAGCCGCCCTGTTTACAGATCTGTTGGGTTGGCTAAAAAAATATGTATGGTTTTTCCATAAAATAAAAGACTTTTTTTTCATTTTCATCAATAACTTTATTTATTTGGATATATTGAGTATGTCGGCTATCTCCTGTGTGTTATAAGATTGATTGTTCTCAATTAATGTCTCGATTTGATAACTGTCAACTTCTGTTGGTCTACCTTACCTTGGAGCATTGTCCAGCGAGAAATCTCCAGCATGAAACTTCACAAACCACTTTTAAAAAAAATATTTATTTTTAGAGAGAGGGGAATGGAAGGAAAAAGAGGATGAGAAACATCCATGTGTGAAAGAAACATGGATTGATTGGTTGCCTCTCATGTGCCCCAACTGGACACCTGACCTGCAACATAGGCATGTGCCCTGACCGGGAATCAAAGCAGCAACTTTTTTGTTCACAGTGAGCCACATTAGCCAGGGCACAAACTACTTCTGACATGTTTTATCAGTCAGTCAGAGCACCTTCTCTATACACTGCACAAATCTTTTTTTGCGCTTCAGTTGCATTTTTACTTTTCTTGAAATAATAAAGCACAGTATGCTGAAAATGTTGTATATTTTCTTCTATCTTCAATATTAAAATGCCTGCACAAAAATTCACCCATTTTGAATACTTTTTAAAAAAATACATGCTGATATGACAGCTGTCACAATAGAATCTAACAAAATTGTTTCAAATGAAGTTACAGACAACTAAGTGCTACTAGAGCCATCTTACAGAAAAAACAAACAAACTTTTTGGCCAATCCAATATTAATGCCAACCTTGCTGGGCCAAAGCCCTGCTTTGACTCTTGGAACTTCCCACTTCTGGGTTACACCCTCAGATAACTGTGGGAGCAACAAGGTAATTGTGATGTGTGCAACACTGGAGGGTGAGGTGGAAGGCTATAGTGCTGGTAAGAGTAGATCCTGCCTGGAAACATTTTCCTTTGGAAAATTTTGAAACACCATGCCAACAGAATAAAAAATGGTGCCCACACAGATTACAGGATGACAAGGAGATTCCTTATCACCCCACACGAGGCTCCTAACCCTTACTCCTTGCCTTGGGCTTCATGTTTCAATGATACTGTGCCACCTGTTTTGAATCCCTCCTCATTGCAGCCCTTCCTGGTTGATTCCCTTGGGCACTAAGACCCAGCTCACAGATGACTTTGCCCAGGAAGCCTTAGCAGGCCTTGAGATTGATTTAGTTGCCTTTCACCACCCCAAGAAAGTAGACTGTGCACTCACTCCTCTGCTGTGGACTGGCCTCCTTCAGGCCTCATCCTTGGGGCTGTGCTTTTTGCTGCTGCACCAGCCGCTGAACCAGCCTTGGCATGGAAGAGGGTGGAAGAGGGTTTCTCAACATTGGATGTGTGAGTCTGAAGTGCTTGCTTTAGAGATAACTTGTTACATGCTTTGGACCTGGAGAAACTAATTGATGAATTTTCAAAAATTATGAGTAGTACACAGAAATGTACCTATTATAAAATATTAGAAGAATTAAGAAATAGTTAAGAGTAACTGTACTCTTCTTAGCTGCTTCCTTAACCCCCACAGTTCAGTTCTTTTACCAGTATGTAATACTAAATACTTATGTGCTTATATATACACACACATGCACACACACAAAGACACATATCTGTATGTACATATATATACATGTTTATGTGTATATAGAGACAAACATTGGTATCTTTAGAGACTCAAACACCAGTACATACCTTGTTACTTCAGGAATGTTTGGGGAGAAGTGAACTAGAAACCAAGCAGGCTGTTAGATGGTTCTGGAACCATCTCTATGTCCTAAGAGCTACATGGTTCATCTGTTAGACTTTCTCTGAATCTGTGCCTTTTCTGATGCCTTGGCATTGGGAAATTCTATTGGGCAGAAATCAGCCACCACTCTACCTCAAGTGCTGCCTCTCTCACCATGCCATCAGTAGCCATCAATAACCTAGATTATCCGAGTAGACTGTTATAACATCTACATTTACTCTTGTCCCTCTTGGTCTGTTTCCTTCACAATAGCCAGTGAGGTCACCTCTCTGCTCTGAGCCCTTCTGTAGCTTACTATCTTACTCAAAATACTCAAGCATCTCTTTGATAGCTTGACTTGATCTAATAGATCTGTCCGCATGTCCCTAAATTTGCTGCACATTAGTATTGTCTGGAGACCTTTTAAAAACCCTGATGCCCAGGTCACATCCCATGCTAATTAATTAAATCAGGATGCGTGGGGGTCCCTTGAGTCCAAGGGACTCCAATATGCAGCAGAGTTTAGGAGCTGCCTTCTTACCACTTTGCCTTTTGCTCCCTGTGGCATATTAGTCCCTTGCTGGTCCCACCTCAGGGGTTTGTCCCCACACTCCCTCTTCCTAAAAGGCTTCGCCCATAACTGCAAAGTGGTCTCTCATGCCAGGCCTCCACTTTTCAGTATATTGTCAGAGCTGCCCTCCTTGACTAGCCTATCTAGAAATGCTTTCCCTCTCAAGTTTCCACCTATGTGATATTTCTTACTGGCACTTCCTTTCACCTGATGAATTTTTGTTTATTGGTTGTTGGCTCCCTCAAGTGACAAGTCCCGGAGAGCAGGGACTTGGTTGTCTCCTTTCCTTGCTGTAACTTCAGTGCCTAGAGCAGTGCCCACACACAGTAGAAGCTCAGTAAGTACTGCTGAGCAGATAAACTTGGATTTTTATAAAATTTGGACTCCTTTGGCCTCACTCCATTACTACCTCATGGCATCTCTCACTTCCTTTTCTTTTCATTTGACTTTTTGACTAGGTAATAGATTTTGATTCAAAAGTTAGAAAGGCCCTTTATGTAAAGTTTCCCTGGGGCTCATAGTTACTTATGTTCATGTGTTCTTACAGAGTTTGTTTGTACGTGAATAAACAAATGCATATATAGATCCTGTTTTCCTCATTTCTACACAGAGGAGAACAAAAGTGCACACTATTCAGTTTCCATTTGTGGCCTCTCTTGATGGCTTGTTTAGCTTCTGCCTTCTCTTACATCTGCTTTAGCCTGTTTTTTTTCAGGGGATTGGTTGGTCCAGTGGACCTTTACCAGAGAGTGTATCAGCCAACTTTGGGTCAGATACTCAGCTGTGGACCCCGTCAGTTGGGGTGGGTACAGCATCAAATGTGGCTCCTGCCTCAGTGGCACTGTGGGCCAAGAGTTTTCAGGCAACCTTCAGAAAACCTGTGTGTTTTGTGCTAGAAGTAGAAATACACAAGTATTCCAGTCACAGTAAAGAAATCCAGGTTATTTGAGGACCAGACATTCTTCTCTGAATTTAAAAGAGGGCTTGTAAACTAGATGCTTGCTGAGTGAATGAGAGGCACTACTACTTAGCCTTGGTGCACTATCATTAGGGCAAATGCAGGCCTATTGCTTGTAGTCTTTTTTTTTTTTTTTTTTTTACTAAAAAGTAGTAAATTTGGGTGTTTAAGGGAAGCCACACACATTTTAAATGTTGGTGACAAATAGGAATTTGTAAAATGCACTCAGGCAAATAAAGCACTCCAGCTGGCTGGTAATCTGTGGACTGTTCATTTGTATCCTCTGGTCTAAAGTACCTTTGTGTTTCCTTTTGAATTGTTTATTTCAGATCTTATAAGGACACTCCCAAGAGTCAGAGCAGATATGTATGATGACATTCACAGTGACAGCAGATACACTCTGGGAGGATCTGTAGCTCACTCTCGAGATGCTGGGAGAGAAGGCCTGAGAAGTGATGTGTTTCCAGGACCCTCCTTCAGATCAAGCAACCCTTCTGTAAGCGAAGACAACTACTATCGCAAAGAATGTGGCCGCGATCTGGAATTTTCCCACCCTGACTCCCGAGACCAGGTCTTTGGCCACCGGAAATTGGGATATTTCCGTTCTCCAGACTGGAAATTTACACTTCGTGGCTCTTGGGAACAAGACTTTGGCCACCCACTTTCTCAAGAATTGTCTTGGTCACAGGAGTGTAATTTTGGTCCTTCTTCACTATTGGGAGACTTTGGGTCTTCCCGGCTGATTGAGAAAGAGTGTTTGGAGAAAGAGAGTCGGGATTACGATGTGGACCGTCCAGGAGAGGCAGACTCTGTGCTTAGGGGCAGCAGTCAAGTTCAGGGCAGAGGCCGAGGTCTAAACATCGTTGATCAGGAAGGTGCTCTCCTAGGAAAGGGGGAGTCTCAGGGCCTGCTCACACCTAAAGCGGGTCTCGGGAAACTTGTCACACTGAGAAATGTGAGCACAAAAAAATTACCCACTGTAAATCGTATTACACCCAAAACTCAGGGCACTAACCAAATCCAGAAAACCACCCCAAGTTCTGATGTGACCCTAGGGACAAACCCAGGAACGGAAGATATCCAATTTCCTACTCAGAAGATCCCTCTGGGTCTCAATCTGAAGGACGTTCGGCTCCCAAGAAGAAAGATGAGCTTTGACCTCATAGATAAGTCTGATGTTTTTTCAAGATTTGGGATAGAAATAATTAAATGGGCAGGATTCCACACCATAAAAGATGATGTTAAATTTTCCCAGCTTTTCCAAACTCTCTTTGAACTTGAAACTGAAACTTGTGCTAAAATGCTTGCCTCATTTAAATGCTCCTTAAAACCAGAGCACAGAGATTTTTGCTTTTTTACTATCAAATTTTTAAAGCACTCTGCTTTGAAAACACCTAGAGTCGATAATGAGTTTTTAAACATGCTTTTAGACAAAGGTGCTGTGAAGACCAAAAATTGCTTTTTTGAAATCATAAAGCCCTTTGACAAGTACATAATGAGGCTTCAAGACCGACTTCTAAAGAGTGTCACACCCCTACTCATGGCTTGCAATGCCTACGAACTGAGTATCAAAATGAAGACCCTCAGTAACCCCCTGGACTTGGCTGTTGCCCTGGAGACCACCAATTCTCTGTGCCGGAAGTCTTTGGCTCTTTTGGGACAGACATTCTCCTTAGCCTCTTCTTTCCGGCAAGAGAAAATCTTAGAAGCAGTTGGCCTCCAAGATATAGCTCCCTCTCCTGCTGCATTTCCAAACTTTGAGGACTCCACTCTGTTTGGGAGAGAGTACATAGATCACCTGAAGGCCTGGCTGGTCAGCAGTGGGTGTCCACTTCAGGTCAAGAAAGCCGAAACTGAGCCAACTCAAGATGAGAAAACGGTTTCTCCTAGCCAACCTGAAATTCAGGCCAAGGCTCTGAGTGGTCTGAGTGATGGTAAGGAAAGCAGCAAAAGTTTCTATTTGTTGTGATTTCTTTCTTTTCATGTTTTTTTTTTGTAATATCTCTTATTCTCTTGGAGGTTTTCACAAGAAGTTCTTTAGCCAACTGGAGATAAATCAGAAATTTTAGTAGAAAACTCTCATTGGCCAGTATACATGTCTGCCATTCATACCATAAGCATTTTGAAGAATCTTCCATTTACCAGAGAAGGCCTTAGACAATCCTTTGGAAATCTGATGAAAAGCTGCAGCCCTTGCCATGAAAAATGCACATATATTTTTCATAATTTTGCCTGCACATTTGGGGGGTTTGTACCATTCTACAGCCAAGGTTAAGAAACCCTGCTCCACCCCGGCTCGTGTGGCTCAGTGGATTGAGCATGAGCCTGTGAATGAAAGGGTTGCTGGTTCGATTCCTAGTCAGGGCATGTGCCTGTGTTGCAGACTAGGTGCCTAGTAAGTGACATGTGAAAGGAAACCACATATTGATGCTTCTGTCCCTCTCTTCCCTTCTCCTCTCTAAAAGTAAATAAATAAAATCTTTTAAAGAAAAGAAGAAGAAGAAACCTTGCTCCAACAGGGCCCTGCCTCGGGTATTCCTAGAAGGAAAAGTAAATGCTGGTTACTGTTTCTGAGGAGACAGATACCAGGCTCCTAAGAGAAAGAAATCACAAAAACTCTCCCCTCCTGTGTTGGGATTAAGGGGGACATAGGAGAGGTACCAGCTTAGCCCAGCCTGGGGAATTTGGGAGACCAAAGGGATGCCATATTTGAGCTGTGTTGAGGGATGGACAGGGATCAACCAGGTCGGTCCAGGTAACAGAGGCACCTGCTCACTTTTCTACACTGCTAAATGTTGACAGATCACTTAAGTGGTCTGTTAATGTGCAGATACCTGGTAATGTGCAGTTAACAGTTGGCTTATAGGGGAGGGGGCAGGCCAATAAGGAGGTAATAAACATGACTGGCTGATTAATGTTCCTTATCCCTCTGCCTTAGCTCCCAGGATGGCTGCTCTCAGCCCAAATATCCCAGAACTCGTGCATAGGTAGTGGGCATATACTCTTCCCTCCTGATGTGGTTTTCTGCTTCCATTGCCTCAACTCAGTGGGGAAGTCTCATTTGTCCCTGAATCTCCTCACTTCTCTGACACTGTTGTAGAGCCCCAACTGCACAAGCACTGAGGACCCCATCACAGATGAGTGGCCACACCTACTCCCAGAGAGCCTTCCAAAAGCAGACTCAGGGCCGAAGCAGCCCCTTCCTTTGCATACCCTCCAAAGTGGGTAGAGCAGAAAGTCTGTGATGATACTGGAAGAAAAAGTCACCTATAACCTAAGGTTGCCTGCTACGGCCCCCTTGTGATGCTGATAGGCCAGCAGGCCTGCCAATGTAGTGCTCCTGTACTGAAAACATTACCATGTACTCATCAATAGGATTGTTAAAAGTCCCTTCCTGTCTTTGTACAGCACTCGTTGCATCATGATATCAACCTAACATAAATTATCTCACTTTTCCCTTGATGTTGGAGTCACTGCCTTTTACTACAGGCTTCTGAGGTTGTGCAGAGCTGTTGCCTTATAATTGTTATCTGCAAGCCTTGGCTATCTGGACAGCACAGGCACTGCCCTGCCAGTATTTTTTTTTCCTCTTTTTAAAATGTTTATTGATTTTAGGGAGAGAAAGAAACATCAATTTGTTGTTCCACTTATTGATGCTTTCATTAGTTGCTTCTTGTATGTGCCCTGACTCAGGATCAAGCCTACAACCTTAGTATACTGGGACAATGCTCTAACCAACTGAGCTACCTGGCCAGGATTACGCCATTGTCTTGATTACAGTATATTAGGAATGCTGGAATGACATCTTTGGTTAAGTTTGATTACTACTATTTTTAAATCCTTTAAAAGGATATAGTCTCAGGAGAAGGATTGCTGGGACCACTTTCTGTCTTTTGCTATGGTCATCTTCTCTAGAGAAGGTTGTGTTGACCCACAAATTGCATTTGTTTCTGAAAACTGCTTATTTTAGACCTTTTTTTTTTTTTCTGTAAAATTGGCAGTTCTGTAAAATGAGAGCCAATAACAAAAAGAAAAGAAAGCAGTCCTGGCTGATGTGGCTCAGTGGATTGAGTGCCGGCCTGCAAACCAAAGGGTTGCTGGTTTGATTCCCACTCAGGGCACATGTGTGGATTGCAGGCCAGGTCCCCAGTAGGGGCACACAAGAGACAACCATACATTGATGTTTCTCTTTCCCCCTCCCTTCCCCTCTCTAAAAATAAAATATTTTTTTTAAAAAAGAAAGCAATTTCAAAAGGAAAATACTTACGATAACGAGAGAATTGAAAGACTGACTTATCCTGTGTAGAGTTCTCACTGATACTTCAGATTAGCTCAAAGCTACAATTCAGACATAGGCAAGAAAAGGGCAGTACAGTACTACACAGAACAAACTGGAAAACCTCTCCGTTTCAAGGATGGTTTTTATTGAATGAGTAAACAAATAAACCATTCTGTGCTATTAAAACTAGCAAATATCAGAAAACTAAACAGTCATTATTTCAGGACACACATGTTCTGGGTTCTAGTGGCATTGTAAGTTACAGACATATTAGAAGAAAGTCACACTAAAAACTGGTTTCATATACCCTGGCTGGTGTGGCTTAGAGAATTCAGTGCTGGCTTGTGAACCAGGGGTCGCGGGTTCTATTCCCAGTCAGGGCACATGCTTGGTTTGCAGGCCAGGTCCCCAGTGGGGGGTGTGTGAGAGGCAATCACACATTCATGTTTCTCTTCCTCTCTTCTCCCTCCCTTCCCCTCTCTAAAAATAAATAAAATCTTTAAAAATATATTTTCATACATTCAGTAGATAATTTACATGAACACCTACCTTGAGACCATTGACTTTTTTTTTCTTTTTATTTATTTTTAGAGATGGGAAGAGAGGGAGATAGGGGGAGAAACATCAACGTGTGGTTGCCTCTCACATGCCCCCTAGTGGGGATCTGGCATACATCTCAGGCATGTGCCCTAGACTGGGAATGGAACCAGCAACCCTTTGGTTCACAGGCCAGCGCTTGATCCACTGAACCACACCAGCCAGGGCCCATTGACTTTTTTAATTGGGAAATTTTACTTTGTAAATTTATATATGTGTGTTATCTGATTACAGAACACCTGTATGTTTATATTTTGTAGATAAAGCACAAAGAAAATCCTGATGAATCACCCATAGATAATATCTGTTAACCTTCTGGTATATTTCCTTCTTTTTTTTGGATGTTTCCATATTTATATATCTTTTCTTCCCTCCTTCCTATGTGGAATCACAACCTCAATAAATGTTTTATATATTTTATACCTAAATACATTTTATATTTTTATATTTTCCCCTTGATATTGTGAACACTCAAGTTAAGTGATACAGGAAAAGTGGTATCAAGCTACTGCATACCGTTTCCCTCTGTAGAACATATACATGCATTGCTCTGTACAGTCATGGTAAGCCTGTGACTATTTCTGTCCTGGTAGTTATGCTGTTACAGCTTTTGTGAAGATATTTTATATATTGATTTCTAGAATAACACTCCATTTTCCTCTTTTCAACACTGGTCTCTCCTGAAGGAGGATTTCAGTTGCTGGTGTGTGCTTAGGCTCCATTCTAAGCCTGTGACTTTGTCCTGGTCTTCCCAGGCCCTATGTGGTCCAGTATATTTCTCAGAAAAGCTCTTTTGTATGTTTTAGCCATCCCCCAGCGAGCAGATCATAAGATGGTGGACACCATCGACCAGCTGGTCACTCGTGTCATTGGAGGCAGCCTGTCTCCTAAAGAGAGAGCTCATCTCAAGGAGGACCCTGCTTACTGGTAGGTCTAAAAATATCAGCCCTCCAAATCCCTCCCATAGAGCACAAAGCAACATTTATATCTTTCTGATGGTGTCCAGAGCAGAGGGTGAGGTATTTATTTTGAGCACCAGCCCTACTGCAGACTTGACCTGTGGATTTTTCTTGGCCAGTCTTAGAAGTCCACATCCCTGCTGTGCTGGTTTAAGGATGAGCTGAGATGTGCATGCAAAGAGTGTGTAAGAGGAAGGATATGTCACAGCAGCTGTTTGTGATTTACTGTTACTATTTGTTAAACTGTCTTCCTTTTGCCTTATTGCCTCTTCACATGAATAGAACTTTTTAAAATTAAAGTTTTCATCATAAATATAGTACTTGCTTATTAGAGTAAGTGATACAGTTGAAAGGTTATCAAGCACTCACCATTTTGAAGGGTGTCACCTTCTGAAAATGGAGTCCAGGAACAACATCTGTCATGTGCTGGTAGCAGAATGTTTCCATGGTTCCAGGGTAACTGGTTTGTGTAGCTAACTCCCAGGAGCTATGAAGTCCTTTGTACCTGCTGATGAAATTGAGGAGGATTCCACCAGTGCTTAAAGCTCCTGATTGTCCTGTAGTCACTCTGGGCAAAATGGGTGACCTGGGCCCAGCTCTGGGTCTTTGGTGGAACCAGGTGGAGCCTCAGACAGTGGGGAAGCCATCGTGGAGAAAGGGTTTGCCAGTGTATTTGTGGCAGTGGTTTGGTGGTGCTGGTGTTTTAGCAATGTCTCACTGTGTCTGTCTTAATTTATAGGTTTTTGTCTGATGACAGTAGTCTGGAGTATAAATATTACAAGCTGAAATTGGCAGAAGCACAGCGGATAAGCCAGACCTCGCCAGGAATGGGTCAGAAGCCAATGGCAGCAGAATGTGCAGTTCGGGCTATGCTGTATGCCCGGGCAGTCCAGAGCCTCAAGAAGAGGCTCCTTCCAGGGCGGCGGCGGAAGCTACTCCGAGCTCAAGGTCTCCAAGGGTGGAAGATGAGAAGAGCAACCACCGGGACCCAGACCCTCCTCTCCTCGGGCACCAGGGTGAAACACCACACTCGGCAAGCTCTAGGCTCCTCACAAGGAAAGCAGCCCCAGCCAGATGCAAATGATGCTGCCAAGGACTGTCTGCCAGACCCAGCTGGGCCCTCTCCTCAGGACCTCAGCTCAGAAGCTGCAGGCCCATCTCCCAAGCCAACAGAAGTGGATGTATCCGAAGCCCCTCAGAGCTCCTCTCCCTGCCTGTCTGCTGACGGTGGGTGCTCACTCCTGTCTTCCTCCTCTAGGCCCTGAATCTCTAATCTCCAGGTCTCTGCAGTGGTCTGGGCAGTGGGCAGTAGCAACGGGGACCTGCTGAGGACGAGTGCGCAAGATGGTGATTTCTATCCTCTTGCTTCCTTAAGGGGGCAGCCCGTGAGTTCTGTGTTGTCTTTCCTCCTGTCCTGAAAGTGAAGCTAACCTGGATTGCTGCCCAGTGCCTGTGCCCCCCTGCAAGATCCTACTGTTGACCATCAGGTCATGTGCCTGGGGCTTTGAGCACCTTGATCCATTTCTCTTTGTTCTTTCATCCTTTATATTCCATAGGGCTGCGCTGTTCTCATTCTGTCTCCTCTCCCCAGGTCTCTGTGATCCCTCCTCAGGGTTAGGTGACCTGAAGTTCCTTCTGAAGTTACCAATTTAGCCCCTTCTGTGTCTTCTAGCCTTCTTCCTCTGCAACAGGTCTACCCCCTGACCAGTGCTTCCCACTCAACACTAGGTGGAAACAGAGAGGGGGGAAATCTACTCAGCTGCTGCATGTTCTAACTATTGCTACAGAACATGCAGCTCCAAACTGTAGCTTCACACAGGAGCTAAGCTTGGCTGGGCCTGCACAAGTGTTTGTAGGCAGTGGCTGGTTGTCTGAGGCTCTTTGAGGGTAATAAGTGACTGGGCCATGTGCCTATCACCTTCCAGCAGCCAGCCAGGTATGACTCACCTGAGGTTGGTGTCAGACCTCCAGGAGAGGCAGTGGAGGTGCTCAAAACCTCTGAGCCGCAGGCTTGGTACTTCTGCCTCATCCTTTGGCTAGCAAGAGTCTTGGGACCAGTCCCAGTTCAGGGTAGAGGAGAGTCTACCTCTGCTGGACAGAGCTGCAGAGTCACATGGCAAAGGGTGAATATGCAGAGGGGGGCATGAGGGGCTGTCTTTGTAATCAGCCTCCACAGCCCCATGATGTCCACATGGCATGTGGCAGCTCAGAACCGGATGTATAACAGTTGCTTTGTTTTGTAGTTGACACAAAGACCATGGAGACTGCAGAGAAACTGGCCAAATTTGTTGCTCAGGTGGGACCAGAGATTGAACAATTCAGCATAGAAAACAGCATTGACAACCCTGACCTGTGGTATGTATGCATCACACTCTTCTGCTTTGAGTGTGTTCACCCACAAGTTTCCTGAGAGCCCGAAGGGTGGTCAGGCAAGATGCACTCCTGCTGCAGGTGTCATGCCTGAATAAGTTGACTTTGCTTCTGCTGAGCTCAAGGCCATGAGAGAGGAGTGTCTGTTCTAGAGTATTGAGGGGATGAGGGGGATCATGCCTAACCTGGGGGATTGGGAAAAGCTCTCCATAGGGACATTTAAGCTGGATCTGACAGCCAAGTAGGACTTCTCCAGAGGAGGGGAGATAATTCCATGGGCAGAGGGATGGTGTCCCCAGGACCTGAGCAGAGACAGAACAGTGGTGGGAGAAAGGAGGGTGCATCCTCTTCCAAGAACCTGAGGAAGAGGGTACTGCCCCCTGGTTACACTGGCTGCTGTGGGCTGATGAGAATTGCTGCTCGTGGAGTGATGATGGTGGCCCTGGTCTAAGTGTGAGCAACAGGCACTTCCATGCAGTGACAGCCTGGCACCCCTCAGGCTAGGAGGGACATTATTATCCTCCCTGTTCCTCAGACTCAACACCATACAGTCTAGAAGCAGCTCTGCCTCTGAAGTACAGGTTCTCCACCAGAGTTCCCAGTACTAAGCCATAACTCTATTGGGCTTCCCCAGCTGGTGGGGAGTGTGTGGGGAGCAGGTGGTTTTGCATGCTATGTACATTGTATCCTACAGTCTGCTGGGGCTTTGGAAGGTTGCCCTGCTCCCAGTCTGCTTCAGAGTTGTGCTATAGTCTAATAAAGAATGCAGTTAAGACTTCTGGTCAAGATGGAGGCTTGGGTAGACATGTCTCACTTCCTTGCACAACCATAGGAAGGATCACAACTAACCTCAAAACAAAACACTCTCAGACTCCCAGGAAACAGAACTGTATGGAAGTCTGACAACCAAAGATTTAAAGAAGCCATATTCATCCAGACAGGTAGGAAGGATGGAGACAGGGAGCCAGAGTGGAGGATGCAGTGTAGTGGCAGTGAGGTGGTGGTGGCAACCAACCGACCAGGCAGTCCCACTTTCATGTGTGATAGATAAAAAGGGGGAGGGATACCTGGGGAGTGAACGATTCCAGCCCCAGGTCAGACCACACAGTCCAGGGTTCCAGCGCTGGGTAAGTAAAGCCTCATACCTTCTGGCTATAAAAACGAGTGGTAGTTGGAGCAGCAGAAGAAACTGCCAGTCTTTAGAAGAGTCTGTTTAAAGGGCCCACACAGTCCTAGAACATACTCAAACCCACCCACTCTGGGAACCACCATGAGAACAGCAGCTAGAGTGGTGCCAGTCGTATACTGGAAACAGGGTGAGTGCTGAGCAAGCCTCCAGCAGCCAGGCAGCAGCATTGTACCCTCTCTGACCCTTTCCCCACACACAGAGCCACAAAGCCGTGAGTGGGTTGCCCCGCCCTGATGGTTACCTAAGACTCCACCCCATACAATGTAACAGGTACACCAAGACAGGGAGTCAAAGCAGCTCTACCTAATACACAGAAACAGACACAGGGAGGCTGCCACATTGAGGACACAAAGAAATATGGCTCAAATGAAAGAACAGAATAAAACCCCAGAAAAAAAAACTAAACAAAACAGAGATAGCCAATCTATCAGATACAGAATTCAAAACACTGGTGATAAGGATGCTCATAGAATTCATTGAGTGTGGCGAAAGCAGGGGAAGAAATGAAGGCTACATTTATGAGAATTTGCTGCTCATGGAGTGATGATGGTGGTCCTGGTCTAAGTGTGGGCAACAGTTACTTCCATGCAGTGACAGTCTGGCACCTCCCCAGAATGGGTGGGACATCATTACCCTCCCTGTTCCTTAGACTCAACACCATACAGCCTAGAAGCAGCTCTGCCTCTGGGGAGCAGCCTTATACATGAAGGCTGAAATAAAGAAATTCACAGGGTACCAACAGTGAAGGGAAGGAAGCCGGGGTTCAAATCAATAATTTGGAACATAAGGAAGAAATAAGCAGTCAACCAGAACAAAATGAAGAAACAATACTTTTTTTAAAAAAATGAGAATAAGAAGACTCTGGGATATCTCCAAAAGTACCAACATCCATATCATAGGGATGCCAGAAGGGGAAGAAGAACTTATTTGTTCTTCTTCTTGAACTTATTTGAAAAAATAATGAAAGAAAACATCGCTAATTTCATGAAAGAAATAGACATACAAGTCCAGGAAGCACAGAGAGTCCCAAACAAGTTGAACCCAAGAGGATCACACCAAGACACATCATAATTAAAATACCAGAGGTTAAAAAGAAAGAGAGAATCTTAAAAGCAATAAGAGCAAAGCAGAGAGTTACCTACAAAGGACTTTCCATAAGACTATCAGCTGATTTCTCAAAAGAAGCTTTGCAAGTGAGAAGGGACTGGCAAGAAGTATTCAAGATCATGAAAAGCAAGGACCTATAGCCAACATTACTTTATCTAGCAAAGCTGTCATTTAGAATGGAAGGGTAAATAAAGTGCTTCTCAGACAAGGTAAAGCTAAAGGAGTTCATCATCACCAAGCCCATATTATATGGAATGTTAGAGGGACTTATTTAAGAAAAAGAAAATCATGTCCTGGCAGGTGTGGCTCAGTGGATTGAGTGCTGGCCTGAGAACCAAAAGGTAGTTGGTTCGATTCCTAGTCAGGGCACATGCCTGGGTTGTGGACCAAGTCCCAAGTTGGGGCATGCAAGAGGCAACCATACATTGATATTTCTCTCCTTTTCTCCCTCCCCTTCCCTCTCCAAAAATGAATAAATAAATATTAAGAAAATAAAAACTATGAACATTAAAATGACAACAAACTCACAACTATCAACAACTGAACCTGAAAAACAAAAACAAACTAAGCAAGCAACTAGAACAGGAAAAGAATCATACATATGGAGATCATCTGGAGGGTTATCAGCAGGAAGGGGGGAGGGGGAAAAGGTACAGGTATTAAGCAGCATAATTGGCCCTGGCTGATGTGTCTCAGTGGATTGAATGCTGGCCTGCAAACCAAAGGGTTCATCAGTTCAGCTCCCAGTCTAGGGCACATGCCTCGGTTGTGGGGCCAGGTCCTCAGTAAGAGGCGCACAAGAAGCAACCACATATTGATGTTTCTCTCCCTCCCCCTCTCTCTAAAAATAAATGAATAAATAAATTTTTGAAGCATAATTGGTAGGTACAAAATAGGGAGATGTTAAGAATAGTATAGGAAATGGAGAAGCTGAAGAACTTACATGCACAACCCATGGACATAAACTAAGGAGGGGGATTGCTGGAGGGAAGGAGAGTACTGAGCAGAGGGGGACAAAATGGAAAGAATTGGGACAACTATAATAGTATAAGCAGTAAAATCATATAAAAATGCAGTTAAAAACTTCACATTTCCTACTGCATTTCTGAGACCCAGTGGTAGTAGCCAAGTGTGCTTTTCTAGCTTGTTTGAGACCTTGACTGGGCACTGCACTGGAGGTACCTTCTGCTTCTTGGGAGAACCAGACCATGCCTAGAGCATTGATGGTTTTGCAAATGCTCTCCCTGGTCCTGCCTTTTACAGGCCTTGTGACCTTAGGGGCTGCCACCTGCAAGCCTCACAGTGGGGCTTCCTGTAGCTTTCCCTGGCAGGGCCAGTTGAAGGGTACAGCTCAGTGCAGGGAAAACCAAAGGTTGCAAGAAAAGTTTACATCGTCCAGGGCACTTAGTTCACCCAGGGCTTGGGGTTATTCCTCACCCTCTGTGCAGGCTTTTTTTTTTTTTTTTTAATAGAGGGAGAGAAACATCAATTGTTTGCCTCCTGCATGCCCCCAACAGGAGACCTGACGCACAACCCAGACATGTGCCTTTACCTGGAATCAAAGCATCAGCCTTTTGGTCCACGGGACAATGCCTAAATCACAGAGCCACATCAGTCTGGGCTGTGCGGCCCTTTGTCAGCAGTGTTCCTTGGAACATGCTGTTCCTTATCTACAGTGAGAATCCTGGATCCTATAGCAATATCAGATGGGGGGATGCAGCCTGTCTCCCAATGCTCATAAAAGAATTTGAAACTCACTATACAGGGTAGCACACCTATTTGGTAAAGGCCAATGTGCCTTCATGTTCCCTTTTTCTTTGAAAGAATTACATCTCTGATGTACTCAGTAGTCACTTGAGTTGATTCATTTTGTGTGTGTGGCTGTGTCATCAACTTGATATACAGTCAGTTTCATTTGTTTCTGTGGATATTCAGTTTTAGGACCTTTTTTTTCTATCCTTTTTTATTTTACTTTTAAAATAAATACAGCAGACCTGGCCGGGTTGCTCAGTTGGTTAGAACATTGTTCCTATATGTCAAGGTTATGGGTTCAATTCCCCAGTCAGGGCACGTAGAATTAACCAATGAATGCATAAATAAATGGAACAACAAATCCATGTTTCTCCCATGCTCTTTCTCTCTCTGAAAATCAATATATTAAGAAAAAATAATCAGTGGATTGAGCACAGGCCTCTGAACCAAAGGGTCACCAGTTTAATTCTCATCAAGGCACATGCCTGAGTTGCAGGTCAGGTCCCCAGTAGGGGGCATGCGAGAGGCAACCACACATGGATGTTTCTCTCCCTCCCTTCTTCTCTCTAAAAATAAGTAAAATCATAAAAAAAAAATAATAAGTACAGCCCTGACTGATATAGCTTAGTTGGCTGGCCATTGTCCTGCAAGGCAAAAGGTCACTGGTTCAATTCCTGGTCAGGTCAGGGCGCATGCCTGGGTTGTGGGCTTGGTCCCCAGTTGGGGCACATGTGAGAGACAACTAACTGATCAATGTTTCTCTCCCTCTTGTTCTTCCTCCCTCCCCCTCTCTTCACAAATAAATAAATTTTTAAAAAATAAGTACATTTGTATGGTTGTAAAGTAAAAATTATAAAAGGTAAGGAGAGAAATGGGACTATAGTATTTTATTCACCTGTTGACAGCATTTGGGATGTTTTCATTGTGATATTATTACAGATAAATCTGCTGTGAGCATTATTCATGTGTAAGGACCTCTGTGGACACTACTTCTATTTCTCAGATAAATACTGAGGAGGGGAAATGCTGGCTGCCATGGTGGGTCCACATTTACCTTGAGAAAACTGCCAAACTTCCTTTCCAAGTGACTGCATTATTTTTCCTTTTCAGCAGCCTGAATGAGAGTTCAGTTTCTCCCCTTCCTTGCCAGCACTTGTCTTTTCAATGTCCCAGTTCCAGGAAGGGGAGAGGGTATCCCACTGTGGTCTTGCTTCTCTGAGGACTGATGATGCTTAGCATCTTCCATTGTGCTTATATGCTTTCCATATTTCTTTAGTAAAGTGTCTCTTCATATCTTTGACCCTTTTTTGATTGTTATTTACTTAGTAATAAATTTTAAGAGTTAATTATGTATTTTTTGTTTTTAATTCTCATCTGAGTATATGTTAATTGATTTTAGAGAGAGAGGAAGTTGCGGGGGGAGAGTCACCATGTGAGAGAGAAGTATTGACTAGTTGCCTTCCATATGCTTCCTGACTGGGGATTGAATCCACAACATTTTGGTGCATGGGACAATGCTCCATCCAACTGAACACCTAGTTAGGACATGTGACTTGGTTTTTACATTTAGACCCCTAATTTGTGTGGAGTTAAGTTGGGCACAAGGGGTGCAGCATGGGTCCAATTTAAATATTTTTCTTAAAACTTTCAGTTGTCCCAGCACCATTTGTTAACAAGATTGTCTTTTTCAAAGTGGCTTGAGGGGCCCCCTTCATCAGATGCTGTGTTTCTGACTTTTCTTTTGGTTTGTCTGTCCATCTGTTCATGGACCAGTACCACACTTTTTTTTTTTATTACAGTTGACATTCAATATTATTAGTTTCAGGTATGCAGCATAGTGGTTAACATTTATATAGTTTATGAAGCGATCCCCCAGTAATTCTGGTACCTACCTGGCACCATACATAGTTATTACAAAACTATTCACTATATTTTCTATGCTGTACTTTACATCCCTGTGATTATTTTGCAACTACCAATTTGTACTTTTTTTTTCTCTTTTAAGATTTTTTTTATTTTTCGAGTGAGGGGAAGGGAGGGAGAAAGTGAGTGATAGAAACATTGATATGGGAGAGAAACATTGATCAGTTGCCTCTTGTACACACCCCAACTGGGCACTGAACTTGTAACCCAGGCATGTGCCCTGACTGCGAATCAAACCAGTGACCTTTTTTGGTGTATGGGATGATGCCCAACCAGCCAAGCCATACCAGTCAAGGCCCAATTTGTACTTCTTAATCCCACTACACTGTTTTAACTGTATAGGTGTCACACACCTTGTAATATCTGATGGGACTTGTTCAGAGCTCTCCCAGATGTCTTCTGCATAAACTTTAGAATCATCTTGTCTACATCCAGAAACAAATGATGCTTTTATTGGGATACTTTCTGACATTAATATATTAGCTAGGTGAGGACTAACATCTTTATGAGGTCAAGTTGTCCTGCCCGAGAACAAGGGCTGTCTTTTCTTTGGTTCAAATGTATTTTGTATCTTCAGGTGTGATTTGGTTTTTCACAATAGCCAAACTCCCAAGCTCTGACTATGTGTCTAGGTGGTCCTCAGACTTGGACACTAAGAGAGACTTTATCGCCACCATGTTTATGCAGCTTCTCTGCAGGATGTGAGGCAGAAGGTTCAGTGGGTGATGCACTTCCTCCATCTTGTACCTGGCAGTGTGAAAGGGACCCTAGAGTCACAGTGAGCACTAAAAGGTTCAGAGGGCCAGTGACATCACTAGAAAAGGATGAGTCAGGCCAGGTTGGATCTCCAGGCTGAGTGTTGGAGCTTATTCCAGCACATTGCTTAGTTGTCCCTGCATACCTTGTTTCTCCACTTCCCTCCCCTGAAAAGCAATTAGGCTTCACATTCTGGCTCCACAAATTTTATATCATTGCAAAGCTGAACCATCAGCCATAGCTGGTAGAAAGATATCAGGTTATTCCCTTCTTTTTCCCATCCCCAGATTCATTGGGTCCGTTCAGACAGTTTGAGCAAATAAGAATGTTCAGAGGACCGTCTGATTAACCAGTGTATATCATCTTTATCCCAGGTTTCTACATGACCAAAATAGCTCAGCTTTCAAATTCTATCGAAAGAAGGTATTTGAACTGTGCCCATCAATTTGTTTTACATCATCTCCATTGAACCTGCATGCTGGTGAAAGTTCCCTAGAACCCATGGAAGAGGAAGGAGAGTTTGCAGATGAGCCTCCTCAGCAGGAGGTTGAGCTGGAGAGTCTAGAGGTGATGCCTGAGGAGGAGGAGGAAGAGGAAGATGAGGAAGAGGAGGAGGGGGGCGAGGAGGCCCCCACTCCTGAAGGGTCCTCCAGGGCTATAGGAGAGGCTGCCAAGTCTGAGGGCTCTGAGGGCAGCCCCCGCACCGATGGCCTTCCAAGCGAGGCAGCCGAGGATGGCTCAGCTGGTACATCTGCCCTATCACAGTCCTCTTCGGGGGCCTGCTTTCCTCGGAAGAGAGTCAGCAGCAAGTCATTGAAGGTTGGCATGATTCCAGCTCCCAAGAGGCTGTGTCTCATTCAAGAGCCCAAAGGTGAGTGCCATCATCAGCGCAGCACCCTGCTTAGTCTTCTATTTAACGCTTGAGGAGGAGTTAGCAGTACTTGGTTGTGGAAATAGGTGGAAATGTTGCCTGCTTATTTTGAAGAATTTACTGACCCTCAGCCACAAGGTAACAAGCTGGCCCTTGTTACCTTCCCACCTCTGATTCTAGCTGCCAACCTGGACATTACCTCCCAAATCCTCTTAGCCCACTCAACATAGACTTCTTTGGTCTTGTGTTTTTAACCTAAAACAGTCCTTGTGGTTTTGCACACCACTCCAAATGTTCATGTGAAACTCATGTTTCCAGTTGATGTAATGTTTGTACTCTAAAGAGATGCTGCCATGTAGTCTGTGGTTTCTAGAGTCCCACATACTGCTCATGGTCTCCATTGTTCAGATTCCAGCAGGGTAGCCCTGGCTATGGAGAGGATAGGCCCAGGTCACCTGCCCATAGCCTTGGGGGTGCCTGGCCTTCTGAGCCAAGAAAGGCCTAGAGTAGTGACACTTGCCTAGTCACAGTGAGGTGGGAAGACATGAGATGGGACTGGTCTCATGCAGCCATTAGCGAGAGCCATGTGCTCTGTGGAAACCATCTCCTGCTCTCCTCTGTGGAGGGTTAAGGTGCTTGATATATAATTTACCAGCAATAAAATGTACCCCTTTCAAGTGGAGGGTTTGAGTTTTAACAAATGTGAACAGGCAGTGGAGCCTGTTCCCAGAAAGTGTCTGTAGTCCCCTCTCCTATCTGGTCCCAATAGCCACTGACTATTTTCTGGCCTTTTCTTTTTCTTTTTTAATTGTTATTATTTTTTAATGTATTAGTTGATTTTAGAGAGAGGGGAAGAAAACATTGATTTGTTGTGCCACTTATTTATGCATTCATTGGTTGATTCTTATATATACCCTAATTGGGAATCAAACCTGCAATGATGGTATATCTGGACAATGCTCTGACCAACTGAACTACCTGGCCAAGGCTGGCCTTGCCTTTTCTAGCCTCAATAAACAGAATTGTATTGTGTGGCCCTTTGACGGGCTGTTCTTGGCCCAGGCCACTACTCATGCCTCCTACCCACCCAAGTGTCCACACAACCAAGCCTCAGCCATGTCTTTGAGTGTGGAGCTGATGCTGTGAGGTGGTGGTGGTGAACAGTGCCGCATCATTTGTCACTCATGTTGTTTGATGTTACTGTAACTGTCACATTCACACCCAGCAGTGTCAATATAGTTTCCCACTAACAGAACTGTCCCATGATTTGTGCTTGGAAACTTTGGCGTAGCAATGGATCACTGTAACTGTTTTACTGAACTCTTATTGCAGCTGGTGGTAGCATATCAGAATACTTAAGTATGTCCTTCATGAGGGAAAGTGGAGTCCTTTGTATTTCAGAAGCTCTCAGTTCTTTGAGTGAGTAGTTGATGAGACAAAGCCAGGCCTGCTGATCTCTCCCCTTCCTCACCAACTAATAATAACAATAATGATCTGATTTGAAGCTTTGTAGAAGAAGCATGATTATTTTTACTAGAAAGTTCTATGTGGACATTAATTCTTTATCAGTGGGATAAACGCCGTGACACTGGAGGGCATACATAGCATTGCATATTGTTTGTGAAACAAAATGTATTCCTGTGGTCATGGAACATGATTCATGTATTTGGTCCTTCATCATGAACATGGGCGTCTTATATTTAAGGGTACTTTCCCACAATAAGGAGCCCTTAGTTAATCCCACATGTTCATCCTCTGGGCTCCATGGTCATGTGGTTCCTGGGAGTATGCTGGGCCAAGCAGCTGGCCTTGTACAAGTCATAGCCACCTTCTGTCAACAGAGGGGCTATTAGCCAAAAGTGCAGCATTCTCATTTTCTCTCTCAGAAATCTGGGGAAAGCATATATATACATATATAAGCATACACACAAACATATATGTTTTTGTCTTCCAGTTCACGAACCAGTTCGCATCGCCTATGACAGGCCTCGGGGTCGTCCCGTGTCCAAAAAGAAGGTGAGCATGACTATTTGTGAATCCTCCTGTGACATAGTCAGTTAGAATTTGTCTGAGTCTGAAAGGATACTGTGGCTTGTGGTTAAGCTGTATTTATACTTAAGACTGGGTATAAATGTACAAAAGCACAACTGTCTTTTCTCTCTGGCAACTTTTGAAAACTGTTTAGCTTAGTCCAAAGCACAAGAGAGTAGTCCATTTAAGAGATAGTTGACCCTGACTATGTGGCTCAGTTGGTTGGGGATCATCCCACAAAGCGAAAGGTCTCCAGTTCAACTCCTGGTTAGGGCTCATGCCTGGGTTGTGGGTTCAGTCCCTGGTAAGGGTGCATGTGGGAAGCAACCTATTGATATTTTTCTCTCGCCTCGATGTTTCTTTCCCTTTCTCCTCCCTTCCCTTCTTGCTAAAAATAAATAAATCTTTAAAACGTTAAAAAAACAGTAGAATGGAGAGATGAAAAAGTAATGTCTCAGTCCTCAAGAGGTTCAGATTTAGTGGACTGTAATGTAATGTGGTTTAAAAAGCAGTTAAGCCGAGCATGTGTGTTAATTAACTGGTTGGCACCTCCTATGCACCAGGTCTCTTGTGCCTACCCTGAGGCACTAGTGAGCAGGGCCGAAATGTGTGTGACCAGGTTGTGGCAGGGGGTATACTATGGGTACAGAGAAGCAGTTTGACAGGAAATAAGGTAGGATTGGGGTGCCATTTACGCAAGAAGCCCTAGAAGAGGCCTCAGGGTGGTCATGGGTCAACAGGGAGCTCTTTGAGCCTGAGTGGAGTGAAGAGGATAGGGAGGTGAGGAAGTAGAGGCAGCTGGGACTCAGGTCCTTCTCTGGGAGACCCAACTGGGGACCCATGGTGAGGTTTGAGCAGAAGACATATAGCCACTGGTTATTGTGTTAAGAACAGCCTGTGGGGTGGGAGCCAGCTAGAGCTGGGGACAGGAGGGGTAAAGGTGGACCTGGTAGGACTCAGATGAATTGGATGTGGGACAGCAAAAGCCAAGAGTGCAACGCAATCCCAGAGTTGTTGACCTGGGTAGTTAAGAGGATGGAGCTGCCATTGGCTGAATTAGGGAGCCCCTGGGGGTAACAGTTCATCAGAAGAAGATGGAAGTGCATTCCAGGTGGCCAGGTGAAGTCATCTGGAACACATGGAGACATCACAGGTCCCTAGAAGTCAAGGAGGTGAGCAGGTAACAAGGAGGTCTCTGCTGGTGAGGAAAGCCCATGCAGTGGCCACCCATGAGTCAGACTCATTTAGAGTACACCAGTTTCAGCAGCCAGATGAAGCGTCATTCTGACCCCAGCTATAGCAAGAGGAGGAGCCTTCCTGCACCCAGAGCTCATGGTCCTTCCACTACACTCAGATTTAAGCTGAACCAGCACCCAGGCACCCATCTGGTGGCGTGGGTTAAGGCACAGCCTGGATGAAGGGACAGCTTGGGTTCAGGCTCAGGCTGGCCACCTAATGGAAACTCCTGAGCTTCCATCTGTACATCTGTTATATGAGGCAGTCACAACTACCCTGCAAGTAGGACATACCTTGAGGATTAAATGAAATGCATGTTAACCCTCTGTGCATCGTGTGTCCTGCAGATGCAGTCTCTCCTTGGGGGGCTGCAGACGGGGAGGAAGACTTTCCTGCAGCTTTTCATGCACACCTCAGCCCAAGGAGACTGGTCAGGGTTACTCTTAGACCTAGATTTAATGCTTACAAGATCTGTCCATGCCGAGCTGACCCCTGTTCATCCCATTGCTCCCACCAAGGGCTTTCCTGAAGGGGGGCAGGCCTGCCATTTGGGAACCCTCAGCCAGCCTTTGACTTGCCTTCCCCACCATCCATTCACCTTAGCTGTTCTTTTCTGGGCCTGGGAGGGCATGATAGGCACCCTTGTCATCTCAGTGGCAGGTTCCATCTCCTCTATTCTCCAGGTCACTTTCCTGATGGTGGGGGCCCCATTAGGTCTAGCAACTCCTGCCCATTGTTCCCCTGGCTTTCCCCTGGCCTTCAGCCTGCACATATCTCTCTTGTACTACTGTTTGTCCCTTCTTCCTGCACCAGCCAATGACAAGTTCCTCCCTCCTTTGCATACGGCCTTAAATACCCTGAAGATGAAATTTCATCTGCCAAGACCCCTTGCCTTCCAGCTTCCCCAGATTTGCTCAGTGACTCAGATACACACACACACACACACACACACACACACACACACACTCACTCACTCACACACACTGCTTCATACCTCAGGGCATACTTCTTTTCCTGTCACTGGACTCTTGGTGCCTCTCTTAAGTTATTTTGTCCCTTCTAGGGTGAGAGCTGGGGAGGTGACCATGGCTTGATGGTGAATGTCTGGGGAGTCAGGGAGTGTCAGTGCTGGACCATGTTGGAGACCCTCGCTCTGGGTACTTTGCTGCAACCCACATGCTGCATTCTGCTCTTTCCTCAGAAACCCAAGGACTTTGACTTTGCCCAGCAAAAGCTGACCGACAAGAACCTGGGGTTCCAGATGCTACAGAAGATGGGCTGGAAGGAAGGCCATGGCCTGGGCTCCTGTGGAAAGGGCATCAGGGAGCCAGTTGGCATGTACGTAGCAGGCACTTAGGGCTGGGGGATAAGGGGGATGGTAGCGTGCCTCTGCCTGGAAGAAGAGGCTTTCTTTGGTATTCTGGTCCTAAATTCTTTCACCTACAGCCTAATTCTTGGTTCCCTTCATGGTGAACATGGTTTAAAGTTGGCAGGGTTTTTTATTTGGTGTATGGGGCAGGGGAGTGGTGTTTTTTTGTTTAGTGAAGGGAGTCTTCAGATGAGATGAGAAGCAGACCTTTCCATAGGCAGGTGTTCACCTGGCTCCTTGCTGTGCTTGTGTAGACTGTTTAAATGGCTTTTTGGCCCCTGGCATTTTGGTCACATTGTCATAAAAGCTGAGGGGTGATTCTGGATAGTTACAACAAGAAGCACTTTTCCTTTTCTGGGAATCCATATGCAACCCTTATAGCACAGGTGGAAAATACAAGGCCTGCAGGCCAAATTCAACCCTCCACCTTGTTTTATCCAGCCCGGCACCTTGTTTTTATCTGTTGGCAGTACCAAGTGCCTTGCCTCTAGTTAAGGAGTAGTTACATTTATACAGTCCTAAAATTACATTCAACCCTTTGAAGGCAACTGGAAGGCTGATGTGGCCCCCGATGAAAATGAGTTTGACACTCCTGCCTTACAGGGTGATCTGTCCCAGAATTGGTTAGGCCCATTAACATCCTGCAGACATTTCATTTACAACTGAGTCTAGCACCTATGGTGGGTGTGTGGGGGCGGGGGTGCTTCCTGCTATAATGGGGCTTCTGAGCACCTGTACAAGTGAGTGCCCTTGTTCCCCGTTGTGAATCAGCCATCACTGTGGTACATTCCACATACTTCTATCCACTCTAACTGTTCAAGCCATTTTCATTCAGGTCTGCTGCACTGGTGGTCAGGTTAGGGTGCTGATGTGGCTGACTCTCCATTTTGCTCCCTAGGGGAACGGCCTCGGAAGGGGAGGGGTTGGGTGCCGATGGGCAGGAGCACAAGGAAGACACGTTTGAAGTCTTCCGTCAGAGGATGATGCAGATGTACAGACACAAACGGGCCAACAAATAGGTATGTGCGGGGTCTGGCACGTTGGGCATCCTGCCTAAGCTGGCATTTCGATATGCAGCTATGGTTCCTCCAGAAAAGTTGGTGTTCCCCATTCCCCCAAACCAGGCATCAAAATACCACACACACACACACACACACACACACACACACACACACAAATCAAATTATTTGAGGGAAACAAAAGAAGTCTTTGGATGCAGATGTTGTCCCCCCTATCAACTTCCAGGTTTGGCTAAAGGAGTGGGTGTGTGATGTGGGCCTTAATGCCATATCACCTACGCCAAGCACAGCTGCATGTGGCCTGCTTGCAGTTCCTCTGTGCAGGGCTCCAGGCTGCCGCAGGAGTGGTCTCGTGTCCCCCAAGTGTAAGGGCAACCTGGAAGCTGGCCACAGAGGGTGGTCACTCTGTTTCCCTCTTTGAGGTTCTTCAGATCCTTTTCCCTCTGAAGGGTCTTGGCCTTATGAATCGCTTCATCTTTCTCCTTTCCTTTGCCCCTCCCTACCCATAATTTCCAACTAGTTTTGAACAAATCGTTCTCTCCTTGAATAGATGAAAACCATTGGTGAGAAAGATAAGCCTTGAAGCAACAATCACTCTAAAAACGCCACCTCTGCCCCGGATCCACCCTGGAGTCAGAGCCCAAGTCGGTTCGGTGTGTACGTGAAAAACAAATGTCTGCAGTTTCTGGTGCGGAGGTTCTGCTGTCTTTTCTTTTTCTTAAAGAAAAAAGAATGCACCATTTCCAGTCTGCTTTTACTTTTCCCCTTCTTCCAAATGCTTTGGGCAGTGTGTCCCCTCCGAATCTTTCCTGGTTCCCTCAGAAGCAGTGCTGCCATGGCAGCACCAGCACCTTTAGTGCCCAGGAACCAGCTCCTGTTGGCTTTCCCATCCAGGGCACATTGCTCTCCAGAAGTGCTCTGTTAGCAGACTTGATGCTGAAATGATTACTGATTGTGTCTTCTCTTTGCTTCTAGAATTTAAACGGGATATAATCTGTACTCTGGCAGCATAAGCTGTCAATGGGAGCACTGAAGCTCTGAACAAGTGGAGATACTTCTTTATGAGAATATTATTTATGGAGTCTCATTTCTTAAATGCATCCCAAGAGGCTTAACAAAATTTAGCAACAATATAATATAGCTGTATTCAGTGGAGAGTGGTCACTGATGAAACTTTCCCCGAATTTATACTTCTCTTTAGAATCCACAAAGAAAGCTATAGTTTGGTTTTTCTTTTTAAACCACATATGGAGTCTCCTGGAAAGGCATAGGGATAAACTCTTCAAGACTATTTTTTGCCTATGTGGCAGTGGAGAGAATTGTTTTGTTAGGGCCCTTTCACAGAACAGAAAGCAACCTCTTAGGGTGGGCTCCACAGCTGTTTGCTATTTCAAGGCCTATGATTGCCCGCCTCCCCCCCGCACCCCCTTATAGCTTCTCCCAGCACTTTTCAACTACGTGGTAAATTCTCAGGCTGTGGAAATTTCAACCCTTCTTCCTAAGACAGCAGTGTTGAAGCTTTAAATATGTTAAAATGTGGACAATTTGGTCATACTAATACTGCAAACTTGAGGAACACAGCAGTGAGTTACCTTGCTGGTTGCTTTTATTGGCTGTTAAGAAATCCTTGCTTTCTCAGAACAAAGACCCAGCTGTAATGCTGCCCCTCTGGTCTGTCTTGTCTGTCTGTCCTGCTATTCACTGTGACATCTCACCTGCCTGGTGCCATCTCTCTTCATGTCAAGTGTAGCCCTCAGATATCTCTGTCTGCTTCTGATCATTTCTATTGCCATAGCATCTGGCAGGTCTTTATGGCCATGGCAACACTGGCAGTCTTTCAGCAAGTGAACCAGCCTGCAAGCATGGTGTGTCTGGGGAGACCCACACCTGTGGAAGTCCATCTTCTGCTCCTCTCTTTCCTAATCCTTCCATCAGCCTCCCATATTGGCTGTGGTTTGGACCACAAGATGGAACTCTGAGAACAGGGTCTTGGTTGCTCATGGCCTTTCACAGAGTACTTGTTGGCCTAAGTGAGACATGCACCCCCCACACATTTTCTCTCTCTTTTAGCATAGCTCTGACCGTCATGTCCACTCTGTCCTAGTGTGCTTATTCTTGGCTTTCTCTGCTTTAATTCACAAATAAAATGCTTCAGGAATTCCTGGGATGTGAGCCCTATCCCCATAGCCTCCTGGCACTCCTCCTTCTAGGCACATCCCACTTTGAGCTGTCACTGTTTGTGAGACTTTAGCAAATATTAAAGGAAACACCTATTTCTTGAGCCTGTTTAGTCCTCTGAGCACTTAAGTGACATTTCTGTGGAGTCAACAATTGAGGCGTTGCGGGCGCCAGGGTGGAGCATAGTGGCGTGTCCTGTGCCAGCTGCCAGCAGAGGACAAGTGCATGCTGGCCCTCTGTGCCGCCTTGCTCTCTCAGCAAAGGCCGCTTACTCTACCGGGAACTTGCAAGTGTGTGTGTGAGTGTGTGGCCTTGTCAAAGTCACAGCATCTTTTCTGTCATTCTAGTTCCAGGGTCTCTCCCGTGAGGACGACAGGCATCCGGAAAGTGCTAACTCGCCACTTTGGGTGCTTATTGTCTCTGGCTTGTTTCCATCACTGGAAATCAGATAGAGAATTTTAGTGTTTTTGGTCCTTCGTAAAACCTAGAAGACATTTGTGATGTTACAAAATGGAAATTCTTTGTTTTTCTTTTTTTTAATCTAAGAAGTTGTGAATGTTAATCATTTAGCAGTTGCAATAAATGTAGAGGAACCCAATCTTCCATGGTCTCTGTTGATGTATTTATAAAAGCAGGCCAGTTAGGGACACATGGTAGATGCAGTGCCTACATGGAAACAGATCATAAACTCCCTACCTCAGGGCACTTCCTCTGCCTGCCAGGGTGGGAGCCTGTTCAATCACCGGGAAAAGCCCAGGTATGGAGAGCAGGCATGCAGCCCAGCACGGGGGGTGGGCAGGCTGTCTTCTAAGGGAGAAGTAATGCTAGGAGAAGAAACCCGCCTTTGAGAGGATGTCATGATGTGGGAGCCCTACCTTAGCTGCCTGTGACTGCCTACATGCCCCCTCAAGGCCTTATCTGCTTCCAGGGTTGGGGTTGTATCTGTCAGAGATAGACAAAGCTGCCCTTGGGCTTTCTCCTGACCTAGAAGCCAACCAGTGGGTATCTTCAAAGCTCCCTGATGCTCCCATGTGCTGTCAGCTTGTGTCTGATTCCTCTACCTGCTGCCCTTGGCCCTTAGGGTTGGAGGAGAGAGCAAAGAGCACAACAGGTAGGAGAGCTCAGCATGTGTGGGCCTGCAGGGGCCTCCGCCTAATGGTGTGATGGGCAGGAACCAGGCTACGAGCATACCCAGGGCAGCAGGGAACCTGGGGAGAGTTGGGGTGGGGTCTGTTGGCAGATAAGAGGGGGACAGATGAGACAGGGCTCATTAGGAAGCTGATGTGGGACCCTGAGCTTCCCTTTTCCCCATTGTATCCTGGAAGAATCTCAGAAGTGGTGGAAGGATTTCTTCCAGCTCAGAAGGTAAAATTTACTCTGCTACCTTATAATTTAGGGCTAACTGGGACATAAATATGCCACTCCTCCCCCTTCTCCCCAGCTTCTCCTCCTCCTGGAAGCCTTTTGGATGTCCCAGACCCCTGTGAGAGGGAGAGAGTACTACTGGAGAGGCTCTAGTCTTCAGTTTTGCTTTGAGGCTTTTTTGGTTTGTGGGGGGCCACAGAAGACCCTGCCAGCCTCTCAGTGGAGGTACTCAGTTTCTTAAGCCACTGCAGGTTTGGACCCTGGGGGTGGTTGGGCATGTTCCCATAATCTCAGACTGGGACAGGGTAGTTGTGGGTAGTTGTAGGGTGTGACCTGGTTAATCATGGCGGCATGCTTAGTGTAGGGGCTGAAGGAGGGCAGAATTACACTAAGGCCCCCAATGGTAAAGGACGCAACTAGCACCGGCTCCTTGGCCCAGGAGTTCTTGAAGAAGGCACCGAGTCTTGATCTCGGTGGCAGCTCCAGCCTTTAGTTTTAAAGTAGGCTTTTGTTTTACGTATGTGTGCACATGTACATGCATGTGTGCAATACACACAAGCATAAGTGCAAACATGCATGGTCAAGCAATGTGAGTACATTTTCTTAGTAAAAGATAAAAAAAAACCCAGACATATCCAGAATGAAGCACAGGTTTCCCCTCCTTCCATTCTCACATACCAATAAAATTAAACATAAAATTAAATAAGTCTTAAATAACAAGACACACTTCCCATGCTGTCTAGAAACTCGTTTCCTCACACGACTGGAGGTCTCAGCAACTTTTCCATGTGAGTAAACATTCCAAGTGATATTTGTGAATAAGTAACACTGGCCAGAATCCAACAGTGCTAACCTGTCTTCTGAGGAGGTCCCAACCTGCAGGCACATACTACTCTGCCTATTGAGTTTATTTACTTAAAAATTTACCCCGCAAAATATAAGTATGTTTTGCAATGGACTGTTCTTTGTCTCACAAATCCCCACCTGCAGCCATTGGGGTTATTCTCAAGGATTGGTCCCTACACCCTACAATGCTCTTCTTTGTGAATAAAGCCCTAGAAATGGCTTTCTGGGACCAAAGGGCCCTCCACAGCGTGTCTGTGCAATCTAACTCTGCTGGGGTTGGGGATGGTAATGACCCTATCAACACTCCTGTTTCCCCAACAGTGCCTGCCTAGCTAGGACATGGTGAGGATCACTCTGTCGTGAACCACAGTCTCAACCCCTCCAGACCATGTCCCTGAGCTGTACTTGGACACGGCTCAGCTGCCACCCCTCTACTTCCTCCACATGTCCCCTCTCAGCCTCTCATCCTCACCCTGACCACCCCAAACCTTGAGTGTCCTGGGTGACGAAGTTCCCAGAAGAAGCTATGGGCTTGGGCAGGAGTTCTGGCCCTCCAGACCTTGATTTCCCCTTCTATCTAATGGCTGCTGATGCCAACTTATGGGGTGATAATCATGAGGGCTGGAGATACCCTACCTGTGGCCATGGGATTGTGGCACTCTAAGCCTCAATTTCTTTGTGAAATGGGGTAGTGGGCTGGCAGGGTTAAATACGGTAACCTATGACTGCTCTTAGAAAGTTTAGAGGACTAATCTTGTTATTGATCCTTCCATATCTCCCCCTCCTGGGCCTCAATTTCCCTACCTGTGAAGCAGACCTTGTGTGTGAGAATCCCCAAGCTCTGTTACAGTGCACCCTACCCCACCCTTCCCCTACCAGTTCAAAGATGGGGCAGCACCCCCAAATTGTCCCCACCTTTGACAGAGGAAGGGGCCAAGACCAAGTGGCCAAAAGGGTGATACATGGTAAAATTCCATGTGGTTCAGAGATTGGAGGATGATTAGTGCTGGGGCTGGAGCCAAATTCCCACATAGCTACCGCTCTGCCAGCTGTTCTCTTCAATTGTATAGATGGTGAAACTGAGGCCCAGAAAGAGGAGGAGCCATTCCTAGGCTGCACAATGAGTTCTTCAAAGCTCTCTTTCGCCATGCTGATGTAGCTCAGTGGATTGAGTACTGGCCTGCGAACCAAAGGCTTGCTAGTTTGATTCCCAGTCAGGGCATGTGCCTGGGTTGCCGGCCAGGTCCCCAGTAATGGGCATGCAAGAGGCAACCACACATTGATGTTTCTCTCCCTTCCTCCCTCCCTTCTCCTCTCGAAAAATAAATAAAATCTTTAAAAAAGAAAAAGAATTGCAGCTCTGTGATGAATCTGGCACCATCCACTTCCCTCATACTCCAGGAGGAGGACCTCATGAGCTGAGCCTTCCTTTGCTTGTTTTCTCCGGAGATTTCTCAGGTTGTATTGGGAGCAGTCTCATAGTTCCTGGAATTCGTGGCCCAGAAGTAAGGTATCACTTGGAGATTTCAGCGTTTATACTTTGATGACTTGTTTTTGCCCAGAGGTAGCTCAAAGCAAAGCAGAATTTGAGGATTTGAATCCTTAGTCTTTACGTGTCCTCACTGTGCTGTGTGACCTAGAGCACGTGATCCACCTCCATGAACCTCAATTTCCTCGTTTGTAAAATGGGAGAGTAGTAGTATCTACTGCCATAGTTTTAAGAGACAGCCCCAGCACTCCACGAAGCTCACAGATGTCAGCTGTCCCATTTCCACCATTCTCCATCACTGGGGAACTGTCATTGAGGTTTCCTGTCAGCTCAATTGTCCTCCAAAAAATAGTTTCCAAGTTCTTACCTAAACCCCATGATGTGCTGGAAGGGCCACCATGGGTAATCTTACAAATTCGTCTCACTTTCAAAGCTTCAGTTTCTTGATTTGTAGAATATGGATGTTCTTCCTGTCCAAAGCATCAGCTGAGAAGAGTGTATGTGAACGGGATTTGGAGGAAAGCAATGCAGAGAACCAATAAAAAACCCAAGTAGAGGCATCCCCTCACTGACAAGAACCCAGCGACTTGTCAAAATTGCTAACACCCAGTGCTGACCTGTGTTGGAAGGACAGCACCCATCTCCTTACTGGCCTCCGTGAGGATCACCTCAACCTTTTTGTTTCTTACTGATATAAAATTCACATAACATAGCCCTGGCTGGTGTGGCTCAGTGGATTGAGTACTGGCCTGCAAACCAGGGGATCACCAGTTCAATTCCCAGTCAGGGAACATGCCTGGGTTGTAGGCCAGGTCCCCAGCAGAGGGTGTAAAAGAGACAAGCACACATGATTCTCTCTTTTTCTCCCTCCCTTCTCTGTCTATAAATAAATAGATAGATAGATAGATAGATAGATAGATAAATAAATAAATCTTTTTAAAAAGATTCACATTACATAAAGTTCACCATTTTAAAGTGAACAATTCACTGGCATTTAGCACACTCACAATGTTGTACAACCGGTACCTCTATCTAGTCGAGAACATTCCATCACCCCAAAAGGAGACCTCACCCCCATAAGCAGTCACTCCCCATCCTTCCTCCCCAGACCCTGACAATCACTAATCTGTTTCCTGTCTCTATGGATTTGCCTGTTCTGGACATTTCATATAAATGGGATCAGATATGTGGTCTTTTGTATCTGGCTCCTTTTACTCAGCAAGATGTTTCAAGGTTCATTTACATTGTAGCCTGTGTCGGTGCTTCAGTCCTTTTTATAGATGAATAATATTCAACTGTGTGTATGGACCATGTTTTGTTCATTCATTTGTTGATGGGCATTTTAGATGGTTTTACCTTTTGGTGATTATGGATAAAGCTGCTCCAAATATTAGTGTACAAGTTTTTATTTTTACCCTATTTTAAATTCTTTGGGGTCTATACCTAAGAGTGGAATTACTGGATAATGTGATAACTACGTTTAACCTTTCGAGGAATCACCAAGCTGTTTTCTATAGGGATTGCACCAGGCACTAGCCTTTTTGCCAACCTACCTGGGCTGGTACCTTTCAACACTGGTACCCCTCTGCTCCATGGGCAAACCACTGGGATCTACCCAGGGTCTGAGTTTTAATGTCCACAGATGTCAGGAGTCTTGCTGTGCTGGCAGATACTGGGGACAAAGCAAATAGAGGTAAGGGAGGGACAATTCAAGGAGGCTTTGAGTGTGAAATATAATGGAGCTTTGGAAAAAGGAGTTCAATCTTAGGAGGAGGATAAAGGCCAAAGTAGGATGTGATTTTTGTAGAAATGTAAAATGTAGACAGATGCCCATGTACAGGGACAATCAGCTGTATTTGAGCACAGAGAAGGCAGGTCTACTCCAAAATGTCTGCCCT